TACTGTCCAACTTTCAATGGCAAGTATGCATGATTTATTACAAGTTCGTTTAAATCTTGTTCGAACTGTGTCCATGCTTGCAACACAAACGAACGGCGAAGCTGTCCATAGCCATATAGGCAAAACCTTGAAATCTTTGCATCGCATTACAAGACCATACACGTAACATTAAAAGGCAATACGCAACAGGTTAAGGAACACGCTACGACCGTGACAATTATTATCCTTAAAATAATATATGTTCAACAGAGCGAAGTAATGAGTCTTACCTGTGCTTTCGTCATTTTTTTGAAACATCCGATAACGTTTTTAATGACCTTAAGTAATAATAGGTTTTGTAACAATGAAGGATTCATAACTGTAACTGAAGTGTGTAGGATAATAAATAATTGGCAAATTCCAGAGACATTAATCATTTTTGCTCTATAACAATAATAACACTTCTGGATTAGAAGTATCATCCACGTAGGGGTTAATCTTAATTAAATCTATCGTCTAACACTGCGGATACATTAATCTTCCACACTTTTTTGAATCGAATAGGAATCTAATTTTTTAGTAATTTTTTTGTACGTAGATTAGAAACTCTATTATGTTTTCTTAAAGTTATAGATTCCAAGTATCTAAATTTTCAACTTAACAATTCTTAAATTACCAAATCTGCAGCATCAATTTCTCAATTAATCAAGTTCCAGTTTCCCGAACTCTCAAATCTCCAAATCCTCAAATCCCATAATCTCCAAATTCCTACATTCTCAAATTCATAAACCCTCACACACCCAACTTCCTAAATTCCAAATTTCTAAATTCCCGAGTCCCAAAATTCCAAAATTCCAAAATCCCCAAATCTCCAAATCCTTACATTCTCAAATTCCCAAACCCTCACACTCCCAACTTCCTAAATTCCAAATTTCTAAATTCCCAAATCCTCAAATCCCCAAATCTCCAAATCCCCAAATCTCCAAATCCTTACATTCTCAAATTCCCAAACCCTCACACCCCCAACTCCCCAAATTCCAAATTTCTAAATTCCCAAATCCCAAAATTCCAAAATTCTAAAATACCCAAATCTTCAAATCCTTACATTCTCAAATTCCCAAACCCTTACACTCCCAACTTCCCAAATTCCAGATTTCTAAATTCCCAAATCCTCAAATCACCAAATCTCCAAATCCCTACATTCTCAAATTTCCAAGCCCTCACATTCCCAAATTCCCAAATTCCAAATTTCTAAATTCCCAAATCCCAAAATCCCAAAATCCCAAAATTCCAAAATTCCAAAATCCCCAAATCTCCACATCCCTACATTCTCAAATTCCCAAACCCTCACACTCCCAACTTCCCAAATTCCAAATTTCTAAATTCCCAAATCCTCAAATCCCCAAATCTCCAAATCCCTACATTCTCAAATTCCCAAACGCTCACACTCCCAAATTCCCAAATTCCAAATTTCTAAATTCCCAAATCTCAAAATTCCAAAATCCGCAAATCCCACAGATTAAAATAACAAGACTTCAGATTCGTTTTAAATATTAAACCAGCCAATTTATCTGCAGGTGAATGATCGGTAATTTCAAATAACATTGTGGCACCCAGGATTTTAACGAAGCAGTAAGAAATTAATTATAACGCGCCGGGGAACTGTCACGGGCGAAGAAGAAAGCAATCACGCGTTACTATCGTTACGTCCACCCAAAGTACCGAATGATTTATTAACGATCACGTTTCGAACAGTAAATAACATTAACGAATCGTAAATCCCGTATCGTTAAACAAATGCTCGAGGCGTATCGTACAGTTAACCCTTGGCAAGGTTCGCACAATTTCTTTCTTTTAACAATACTCTCGACACGTACGCGTGTAACGTCATGATTTGAAAACGATTCTTTGACTACGTTTCTTTGACTACGTTTATGTCGATATGTTAACACGTTGTTATCGCTCAAATAATGCAAAATAGACAAGTACTTAAAATGAACCATGGTTGACATTATATAATGTTGGTTATTAGTGTATAAATGTAAAATCTGTTGTTAATAAGTAATTACATAAAATTCGTTATTAATTAATAATTAGACGAAATTCATCATTGATGAACTATTAGAAAAAATTCGTCATTGATGGATGACTACTCAGAGTTTGTCAGTAATGAATATGTAGATAAAATTCATAATTTATGCATAGTTATACAAAATTTGTTGATAATGAATAGTCACACAAAATTCATCAGTAATGAACAACTGAACATGATTTTTAATTTATGAATATCTAGACAAAAAATTAATAAATAATTGTACAAAACTCATCAGTAACGAATAATGAGAAAAAATCGTCATTAATGAATAATTATACAAAATTCGTCAGTAATAAATAATAAAAAAAAATCCGTAATTAACAAAAGAATTAATTACAACAAAACTACAGATAAAAAGTCCTATAATTCAATAGTAGTTTAATTGTAGAGATACTTATATTTCATGTTAACTAGACAGAGAGGTGTCAATAACTCATACCGGGATAAGTTGTTCACAAAAGAAAAACGAAGCCAGAACACGTTCCAGCGTTGTTAGAAAAATTTCCCACGTCGTCGAAGAATGCTATCGGTCATCGTTGGACAACGTCCATCGACTTAATCCTGTTCGTTTGATTTGCATTCGTTTAGAAAGGCGGAAATGCGTTTCTGTGCGTGTCACAGAAGGTGTCGTGCACCAACCCGATGAGCTACCAAACGGCCGTCTAACTGTGCGTGCAAATTATTTGCGTGATCGCGCTTTCTATTGGCAGGCGAACGATTAAATATGCAACAAGTTAAATAGAATTTGACACCGCAGACAATCGAGGCTCGCCCATCGAGTGTTCCTTGATCGCGTCGTTCTTAATTACAACGAAATTCTTTGCCTAAACTTCGTTGTGGCAAGTAGACGCGTTGCGAAGCGGTACAGGATGTGGTGTAACGCGTATACCTCACGTGTCGAAACCATAATGCAGCAAAATTGATTTAGAGATATTCGATTGATCGTGAACAATCTTAAGTTCTTGTAAATTAGGAACGTATTATGTTCATTAAGTATCGAATTTCGGTAGGTCAGAATTTGGAAATTTGGAAATTCGCAAATATCAAAGTTGGCAAAGTTCAAAGATATAATTGGGAAAATTATACCTAAGTTTCTATATTAATGAATTCCTAATTTAGTATATTACTAAATTTCCAAATTATCGAATTAACAAATTTCCAAGTTTACAAATTTGTAACTTCTTAGATTCCCAAGTTTCTAAATTTCTAACTCTCCAAATTTCCAAGTTACCAAATACCAAAATTTGTAGCATCGAATTCCCAATTGCCCATGTTCCAACTTCCCAAATTCTCAAATCTTCAAATCCCCAAATCCTCAAATCCCTACATTCTCAAATTCTCAAACCCTCAAATTCCTAACTTACCAAATTCCAAATTTCTAAATTCACAAATCCCAAAATCTCCAAATCCCCAAATCCCAAAATCCCAAAATCCCCAACTCCCAAAATCCCCAACTCCCAAAATCCCCAACTCCTCAACTTCTCAACTCCCCAAATCCCCAAATCCCCAAATCCCCAAATCCCCAACTCCCAAAATCCTCAAATCCCAAAATCCCCAACCCCCAAAATCCCAAAATCCCAAAATCCCCAGATCCTCAAATTGCGAAATCTCCAAATCCCTAAATTCCCATACCCCATATCCAAAAATTCCCAAATCTCCAATTATCTCGAACATGCCCTGGTATTCATATAGCGTTATATACATTATGAAATAATATAGGGGGATAATTCCTAATGGTAGCTCTCACACATTTCTTAAGGTGCATTGCGAATTCAATGATTGTTTTATGGTTCGCTTGGAAACCGATACAATAGGGTAGATTATACAGAAAGAGGTTTGAAAGTATCCGATAAAGCCACGATTTCACGGAAATTTTCATGGCATAGAAACCGAGGGAAAATTAAATTTCCCCGTGAAAAGTAGGCGTACGTTAGAAAGATAAGTTTGCTAAGGCACAAGGCCTTAGCCTGGCGAACGTGTAATACTTTCACAGAAGCGTTAGAGCAAAGGTCATTCTTCCTTGGCAAATCCGAGACGAGTAACAAAGTTCAAGCATTCACCGTCATACTTGCTGATTTCGCGAGACTACAATTGCCATGCACTGAACGTAAATAAATTTAACCTTTTCGATGCGTTTGTACAAACTAATAAATCAATCATTTCAATGTACACCCTAAATTTTATATTCATTTATTATAAAAATGTTCTACTTAACATACAAATGATGAAGAGGACAGAAAGTGTTTGTAAGTCTTCATCTGTTTTAAGTCCTTCGTGGAAGCTAATAAATTAATAATTTTTATGTTGATAATATTTAATTATTAATTTAAATGGAACGCGTTAAATGGAACATATTAATGAAAAGAAAATATATTGTCCGTATTATTAACATTGCTAATATCGTTTCTATAGTAAGGCCGTCGTCCGAAAGAGGCATCGTGACACACATTGTGCTACGAACATCGACACTTTCGATAATTTAAATGAGCGGTGACATTCAATGCAAATCGTGACGCGTATGAAATCAACAACGAGGGGCAACCGCTGGGGGACGTACTGATTCCTTTTTAAGAAACCCGCCTCGAAAATAAATACAATTATTGTAATTAAAAACGCGAGTCTATACAATATACGATAATATAAAAGAATACGTAAACAGAAATATAACGTGACGATACGACTTTGTAACTTTGCGACTTCGTGCTATTAAACATTTTGTTATATTCATAACTAGTCAAAATGGCGCCCCTTTGATTTACCCATGTTCCGTAAAAAGCACACCTAACTTTACGTTTCAAATGTCAATTGAAAATTTATGCTTGAAATACAACGATTAAATAAATTAAATTGATCATTCGGTTCTAAAGATTAAATAAATTACAAAGTATATAATAGTTTAAAGTGGAACTCTGAATGATTGTCTAACCTGTATCGATGCGGTGGCGGGCATTGGTCTCGTTCGCCGGAAGAAGGTCGTCGTACTCCAGTGTCGTCACATCCTTCGCGTGAACTAGTATAATTACGGAGGTCATCAGCATCAACACCATCGCCAGCACCGATCGGTTCACCGTCATTTTGCTACAACACGCGTGTTTTATCGGCCACGAGTAATCCGTCGCGCGACACAAACTACGTCCGTACGATCACATTTTCGCCACCCCCAAAGATCGCCACTTTGAAAATAAAACGAGGTGAACGAGCGGCCGAAGCGTGACGTTCCAATGTCGGGGTTGCGTGCGAGACGCGAATCCACGCATATCATTAAACACGGACGGAACGAGGATGAGAGAGAAAATAATAAACACGCGAGTGGCCCGATAAACCGTTACAACCAACTCATCTTCGCGGCGTTCTTCAAACTGATACGACGCGAAGTTGCCTGTTGAAGGGTGCGTGATCGACGCGTGCGCAGATCGGGCCAACTGTCATAATTACTGCGCAGGTGACAGCGGCGCGTACAAAACGTGCGTTCGTACACCGTTCACGGATGAGAAGCTCGAGGTCGGTGAAACTTCGCGAGTCCTCTTCGATCTCTCGTCCTTTCGAATGATTCTCTTGACTTCCTCGAGGGTTGTTCGTAAACGATCGGGCAGTTACATACGTACGCACTCGTCGCGTGTCACTCGCGTACACGTAACCGACCGCGGCTTGCCGATGCGATAACAAGAAAAAAACAATCAGGGTCGCGCGTGCTACCGGTTTTAAAAGAAGTGTGCGCTTCCCGCACGAGTCCATGCCGCACTGCTAGACGGCGGTCAGATGTTTCAAGCAGCCGCCACGCGAATCCAGCACCATCTGTCGAACTATCACCGAACACTCGCTGTCGTGCTTAAGCAACTGGCGGGCTTTTCACGCGCACGCTCCTCACCCTCGTTCCCTCTCGATGTCACGTGGCCATTTCATTCATGGAGACAAGTCCTTTTATACTACGCGCGTTCGTGTGCGTGAGCGCCTACCGAATGCATCGCTATATGCAACTTTTAAACCATGATTTATAACATATTTCTGCAAAACTAGTTTAATAAAAAATGTAAAAAAATCAACCTCCGATTTTCACCCAATGTTAGCATTCATTGTAGAACCAAGTATTCAGGCATGTAAATAATATGTCTTCTTTGGGAAATGTAACTTGTATAAAATAAACTAAGCTTCTATATGATTCTAACCATTGTATATAAGTTTTGAATAAAATTTTAAATGGTTATCTGATTCATGGTTACTAAATAATTATCAGAGTGTATCAGCTAAGGATGCAAAAGTATTATAAGATACTTCCTCTTTAACACGATCTATATGATTATAAAGTGTTCATTTAAATATCTCATGACTCATACTCGATATTTTATATGCACTAAGCAAATAAAAATTGAATCATATCGTTTCATCACTGTGACGAAGTATAACGAACTATTGTTCGAACTTCACCCGTTTAATAAACCAATTTCGATGCCCTGCAAGATCTTATAAGAATGCACACGATGTATCCAGCGCTTCTGCGAATCGGCTCACCCAACGAAATCGATTCTACGAACGCTTAAATTTTAAATTTTATTCGTAATCGAATAATCAACGCGTGTCTTTTGTTCCGCCCCTTTTCCTCTAGTACGACATATTTCTTTTTTACAAAATATTCATTTCAAAATTTATTTCAGCTTCAACTCTTACTACATTTATAAATGATAGCAATACTTTTCAAAGAAATATTTTAAAAATATAATCTTGAACATAAAACATGTGCAATCGTTAACCATACGTGGTAATTCTGTATGTATAGTAAGATTATAACATTTTACAAGATGGATGGTTCTGTGGACAAACTTGACAATAAACAATTCTTCGTATCTTCAGATACGAACAAACGTGGTATTTATTTAAAGGTAGAAATGTGACGTCTGGCATTCTTCTTTGGGATACAGGTTTCTCCCTCTGCGATTACCAAACTTCAAACGTAGCGTGTAAATCTTACTCAACGTGGACAAAGCGTTTGCCAACCACCTCCGAACAGTTTCCTGCACGAAAGCATCCGATTTGTTCATTACCCACATTTCCTTATCCCCGCGATGTCACGTTGTCTCTCTCTGCCATTCCGATCGTTAGCAAGGTAAAATCGCGTGGCAGTCACGTAAGCGGGTCTCTCCGCGAAGAGGACATGGATGCCTCCGTCTACCGGTATTTAATTAAGCCCGGTCGTTCGAGAAAAAAAGTCGTTTGTACAGGAAGCGATGGGTTTCGAGTACGCGAGCAGCGGACCGTAGTTCGAGCCCCGTTACGGGACAAATGCATTGGCGTAACCCCCATCGGCCACCATAACCTCCTCACGAATAATCACGACACGGTAGCGTCTCGACCACGCCGTTGCAGAATGCCGGTGCAACCTCACGCCGGTATTCCGAGGGATCGCGAACTATGTCGACCTTAAAAATTATCGACACGAGGCAAGAGAGTAATGGTCAGAACGGAACAACGACTTTGTCTTTGTCGCACGATCCCCTTTTACCTTTTTATCTCGCTCTATCGCCACGATAGGCAAACGATCCGCTGTTTTTCACCCCGACAACGAAATGGACGGCCGAGGAACTTCCAATCGTGGCTCGATCACGACGCGTGATCTGTGACTCGGAACGCTCCTTGTATCGTACACGGAGGCAATTGCACGTGACTTTGTTGGGGAAGTAAACTGCACGTTTGCATGATTTTTAGATCACCTTTACATCTTTGACCCATGCTTTACTCGCAAAGTTTTGAAATTCCGAATTAAGTTTTAAGGTTCAATACTAAAATTTCTAACCCTGACATTTTCGAATTTCTGAAATACAATATGAAAGTGCCGAAGATCCACCTGAAATGCTAAATCTTTAAATTCTCAAATCTTCAAAGTTCTAAAATTGCCTTGCAATCCAAAAATTCCAAACTCCCAAGTCCTCAATCCACAATTAAATTAACGATTAAAACACCAATTTTATAGTTTAGTAAAATAATTTGTAGTCCTACGTTGTACTATAACAAAACGAAAAATTCCATATGGGCCAAGGACATATACCGTTGTGTTAAACATACGTTCTATACGATGATTACATTGATTTCTATAAATAACGGTTGCTCCAAATGATTATTGGAACGTGTCTGAGTCTGTTACAAGAAAGTTGCGATTGGCGCGCAATTTCGGTATAATACCTAAACGCGATCCTACGTACCAACGAAATTCTTCTATGGTTCTTCACTTTATTCGCTCGTTTTTTCAAGCCTCGAGGGACATATTCTCACGAAATCCGGTTCTACTGGTTTGGGGTTAGATACGAAGGTGAAGTTTAGCTGCAGTGGCCAGAGAAATCGGCACCTCTGCTGATTACTACGCAACATTGCATCGCATTAGATTAGTTTATTACGTAAAAGAATCGGGTGTCATAATTGACAGAACAAATTGAGATGTGTTGACACAGCGATACATATCTTTTACTTCATCTTTGTCGTTTTGAACACAAGGTAACTTTATGTCAGATGTTCAGAATTTAGAATTTAATAATGAAATCCAAATTAGACTTTTAAATCCTCACGCTCCTATATTCTCGAAACTATCATATTTTTAAATTCGTATACCCCCAAATTCCCATGTCCCGAAATTTCAATATCCCCAAATTTTCATATCCCTACATTTCTACGTCCCTAAATTTTCATATTACCAATATCCATATTTTCAAATGCCTCGAATTCCCAAATTCCCCAATGCAAAAATTTCCAGTAATAGATAATAAATACGTAAACTCCACTATATTTGGTGTAACGAGAAAATCGTGTGGTTACATCAAAATGTAAGACTACACCAAGAAATGTACCAGGTCCAACTCAACCCGCATAACTAAAGTCCGCAAGGGATAAACGAGAAAACTAATATTTGACAGATGGCAAATGAATGGCAATCTCTATTAACTTCTCTCGAATATATTCGACAAGTATTGGTCGTTAATCGTACGTTGGAATCCCATTTAGAAGGAAGATCGCTTCTTTTTCTCGTCTTCTCGATTCATAGGAACAAATGAAAGGATATTAGTGGCGCTCACATTACTGGCTGTCACGTTCGCCAAGGGGATGAAATTTATTGCTTTAAATTGGTTACAAAATACGCCATAAGTCTCGTACAATTTACGGCTGTACTAGCCATGTTGACGACGCAGCCCGCGAAATACGTCTCCCTCATATAATATTATACGAGGGCAATACGAGAGACCGGGTGCTTTTAAATATTCATATGCAATGTATCACGCACCATACATCAGTTCGAGACTGCGTGTCTTTACGAACATGCAACCTACCGAACGTACACGTATTTCTTTTTTAACCTCTTCGTACCGAATCACCGTCTTAATTTCGTTGCTTCAGAGCTGGGTAGAATAATATCGTAAATAGCTCATTTTGTTTTATACTATAATTATAATTTTATTATCGTCTTTCTCAAATATAGAGGATATGAATTATAGCAAGATTTTAATGAAATCACTGGTATTTGTGAAAGGTTTTAATTATGACAGTAATGTTCGTAAATTACCGGCAGTTAACGAAAAATGTTTGTGTACCAAGATATTAAATTGTTAATGTTAATGATATTTTTTCGATGATACGGATAAATACTTCATCTCAAAAGCTTCATGCTAAACGCTTTCCCCCTCTCAACGGGTTGTTAATTCTTCTCCGTAAGAGCCACGGCGGTAGGTTTAATTAAAAATTGATGTGGTCAGAATATCAAGGAGAAGAATAAATTTAACGCGTTGCAGCCATTAATTAGTGTACCACTTGCCGACATTCTTGTTGTACAAGGCGAACGATGCATATACACAGAAGGTGGGTACCGAAAAAAAGGCTCCAAGTGCATCGATTTGTTGGTCCATGGTGTAGTAAATAAAAACTGGCAACAGTACATAAAATGTGCATAATACATTTCTGGTATAAATAAAATGGTGTAACGAAACTCCGCCGTTTGTCTTCGTGAGAAGTTTCGCTTGTTCTCGTACAGGAAGAATATTCATGAACTAATTGTTCAAGCAAATTGTGTTGTAAAACTTTATTTTTAACTCGACATAGATCACCATAGGTGTGAACTATAAAGGTCGCAAATAGAAATTTTATGATATATGTATGTCGTATAAGACACGTATTTTTGATAAATAAGTATTTAATAATAGTGTAATAAAAAGTCAAGTGGAGATCAAAGCTTCATATTTATAAAGTGTGAAAAAGAGTATATGAAGATTCTGAGAAGTTATAGTTCTTGCAGGGCCCAGATATATCCACAGATTACATAAAGTGTTGGATCACGAAGTCCTCGTTAAGCTACCGTGATTTGAATCACTTCGATCAGATTGGTCCCCACACTTGTAGATTCTGAGTTTCAAGAATTTTAAGGCTGTTAACATTTCAAACGTTTGATCTTGATCACCAAATCACTGGAGCCTATTTCAAAGATAGGAGACGTTCTTTTTATTAAAATTAAGTTCTTCCTAGAAACCGAAAGTAAATGGTAAGCTCCTTCCTATACTTTTCCCTACCTGATTGTATACACAAACTTCCAAGCCCAAAATAAACGAGATCGGAATAGTTTATATGGCATTTAACGAGTTCGAAATTATTCGTACTGCATTCTAAGAAGTTGAGGTCGTTAGTATTGGATCTTACGTGTTCAAGATCGTCGCTGTCGATTCCCATGGGTCCGGGGTCTTTTGTATCGGATCCCACGGCTACGTGGATCGTCTTTATCGTGTCCCATTAAGCCGGTTCCCGATATCGAGTTTCGTGACATTGGCGTTGTCAATATCAGATGCCGCGACTTCTGTTTAAGTTTATAATTGAACAGCAGTTACTTCGTTGTTCACGTCCTTCGAAAACATAAAACCTTAACGATGTGCAGACACACGTTGCAACGAAATTCGTAGAATTAAGATAATGAATTTGATGTATGAAATGCGCCATCCGTAAAGAGCCTGGGAGGTTAAATATTTATGGTACCTACAGTGCGTACCGGTAGTGAAACGTTTATCAAGCATTCATTTAAGACACCCCATGCTTCAAATTCTCCCTACAAACAAGTTCTGAATAACTGCATACCATGGATGGTATAAAAGTATCCCTCATGTTTTTGATGCCGAATATTTTCGTTGGTAATTTATTTTAATCAAACGTTTAATTTTCACGTGACATTACACGAGTTTTATTTTATGCATCACACAGCCCAACTTGTTATTCTACCGAATGCACCAGTTGGAAAACACTTCGAAGGGAATCCTAAACACGAAGATGCAAGGAGAAGTGGTATCGCGGCAAGAACTTGCCAAGAGAAACAATTAACTCTACACGAACACATTTACAGCTGCTGAGTTTCGCGAACAATGAACTCATGGGAAATGCTCGAGCCGTGCCATGAAGCTACTACAAACGCTCCCGATGTTCGTTACTATGTGTCTAGTTACTTATGGCGTTGAACTTGCATATTTAACACGTGGTGCTGGCAAATTGGTCAGGTGCAAACACCTTGCAAATTACTCTTAATTTGTATCTATAAATTCGGTACAATATACTTGCAAATTTAATAATCGTACCGTAACAACAGCTGTCGTGGACTTACAAGTGAAAATCTCCTTAATGGATTATTTGTTTATAAACAGCTTTATCTGCATGTTTCGAAACAAAGCGTGAAATAAAATCCATTCTGTTTGCTCGAGAAATATGTAGTTGTCGAATCAAATTTTTGTACGCTTATGCTTGCTTATTTAATGAAAAAGAATTCTTTCTTATGTTAATGCCGCACGATCCTTACACGCATCTTTGCTCATTGTATGCGCGCTGAAATTGCGTTTAACCGAACACATAAAGCACGGAATAAAGACACATTAAACACAAAGAATAAGGGATACAACGCGATATTATGCTTGATATTTAAATACACGGTCGAGCGACCGATAATTTTCGGTGATTACAGATTAGATCAACGATTATTCAAGAATTTAAAAAGTTTTGTTATTCAAGATAATTCGAGAAGTTGGAAATTTCCATATAGAAAAATCTTGTACTGAATTGCTGAGTGCTACAACCCCATCTGTGTCAACTGTACATCGGTGTCCATTAGTAATAGAAATCTCCGTATTATAGAAATGTTATAAAGTAATGTACAAATAGAAGAACGAGTTTCTGAAATAAAGTCGTATGGAAATCTTGTCTTGTACCAAGTGTACATACAGATACCACGAGGAAATGTGGCCCCCTTCGTAATGCGCGTTTTATTCTGTAATCTAGATCGTCCTCGGGGGAAAAAGACCGCGTGCTCCATTTCTTGTTTTCTGCGAGCAACAATTCGACTATATTTTATACCGTTATAGAGGCTTCTCTTCTGTATTCCCACTCGCTGTATCTCACTTGGCCGATCTGCTGCACATTGTGCGTGCCTAGAAAAATTCTTTGAAAAATTCCTCGAGCTACGTGTGTACGGGACTCTATTGCACATTGTTCGTGAATTCCTTGACAAAGTATGTTTCCCAGGTGTACGTGTCTGCATGCGTAGTAATCCTTCTAGAAAAAAAGTTTGTTAAACCAATGATGAGCAACTGTGCTCGTAAGGGTGCGGTGTGCAAGTACTGTACATTCACAGACACTATACACCTTATTTCTTAGCTTCTTAATTTTTTACTTTATTCAAATATCTTCTGTGAATATTTAAATTCCCAATTTAAGGTTCTATTTGCCAAATGTTAGCAATATCAAGAATTCAATTGAATTTATATACATGTAAATTGCAATACATATTTGAATAAATTGCATCTGTAATCTTACGCAATATTTCATTCTCATTAGCTGGTATAATCTTATTCGCAAATAACAAACAACAATTTGCCATCTTTTTGTCAATTTGAAATTTTCGCACGGCACCATTAACAATGATCTCGAGTCTTAAGTAATATCCTGCAGTGACAGCAACGGATATTACCTACTTCGACTTCGTACAAAATAGACGTTGCGATCCTTGCCGATGCTCATTGAGAAACACTATTCAAATAATATCCTTAACAATAATTGCTTCGGTCACGAAGACGGTAAGCATTGTTTCCGATGTCTCAATCTAGTTACTTGAACATTTGATCGATTTTCTTTGGTACCGTATTTCTATAATCGAACTTTGCTAGACGTTGAACAAAATTTCCTTGCAACACAGTTTGCATTTTTTATGGAATTTTTACCGATTTTAATAACATAAAAAACAATTCAGGACAGCAATTCGAATCTATCATCTTGAGTGTTTATCTTGTTTTACAACATATATCAATCTCGGGTATATAGTTGTTGATGTGAAACTTGAAAATAAACGAATAAAAATTACATGCTGTAAATATTTAGTATATTTGGCTTGCATAATCTGCTATATATAAAACCTTTAGTTACATAAAGTCACATAAAATTTCCAAAATTTAAACTAATATTTAATCTGTAAAACGTAATCAATCTGTAACATATTTAAAATATATTTACATAACAATAAATTATAGTATGTGGCACTGACAGCGACAGCAGTTACCAGTACACCTATAGGATTTCATAAACTTCAGTTCTGGAGATGATTGTGCAGGTCCTAAATTCAAGGAATCTTCACTCTCTTCGCTAAGCTCTTCAATGCTAAATGTGTCAGTAAGATCTTGTTTATGCTTCGAAGAATCTTTTGATTTACTTGTTGGAAACAGAGTCATTTCACCTTCGCTAAAAATACACAAATACATACTATTGAAAGTTATATACATTACATAAATTGATACATGCCTTTCGCTGTCACAATGCCAATATTCAACAAGAGGAAGATGTTCCTTATTTTTATTTGGTATAGGAAGTCTTTGAATGGGCATCAAACCAGTTGTGCTACTGCCACCTCCGCAAACCTTATCATACTTTGGCAATTTTACATAATCTGAATTACGCTGAATACGCTTTGCTTGTTCAATTCGTGCCTCTATTCAAAATAAAATACATATATGTACAGAAAATTTTAAGTGATACTACATGTATAAACAACAAATTAATAACAATACCAAGTTTTCTTTGCAGCTGCTTAGTAGTAGAATTATGTTGCAATGTTTGTGTTTGATTACTGCTGCAGCTACTATCGCTACCCTATAAATACAATATATTATTACATATTTTTCTATTTGCTAAATGGAGAATGAAGCATTTGAAAATTAATAAAAGAATGCAGGGAATCAAATATTTACCAGGAAAAGTCTTTCATCTTCAAGATGATTAGTGGTTTTTGGATCACTATCAATTCCGCTATCTTCCATCACAAAATAAAAATATATACTAAACTAAAGATTTATTTTCACAACGCATCTGAAATAAAATGTAGCATATTTTCAAATAAATAACCAAGACTTTGTCAAACACAATTAATATAAATATAATAATATTTCATAAAGTAATTGTTAAAGTAATATCTTCTAATATATACACTTTTAACAACATTGCACAAACTCCACCTTTAATTTGCACAATCATTTTTAATATTCATGTACTTTGGACAGATATACTTGCAAAACAATAATTTACTTTGAAGTGTAATATTATACACATATGACACGTATTTTATTACATAAAAACATACTGATTTAATAATGATTTGAGAATGTTTACTCACAAATATTTACAAGTTATTCTGACTTATCTACAAGTAACAAGCATGCTTGCATTATCATGGCATGACCCATTATTGATTTTCTTCCATCTATATAACCAAGTATAATATTTCAAAATTCTGATCTTCATTTAAAATATAATCCTACATGACCAGATAAATATATTTTTTGAAGAAAAAATATATGTATATTGATTATTAGATGTATCATACAACATATTGTAGCTCACTGCAACTGTACCCTTATATATGTAAAAGAAATCCTTATTATATTATATTTAAATTAAGCGCGTTTTATAAATGTTAGTAACATAATTTTAATAAATTATTATGCAATACAACATTCTTCTCCTAAAGCAAATGCTCCACAAATCATTCTGTAACAATATGACAGGTTTCCTAGGAAACCATAATTTACTGTTCTGTATTTACTGAGAAAAGTTGGGAATAAAGAATTACAGTTTAATGTTTTATTACACTTTTATTATAATAGAACTTCTATTGACACATCTATTATACATAAAAATTTAATTACTTAATATCACTCTTTCAAATTGTAAGAAGTACTTTTGCATGATGTATAAACCAAAATAGTCTATTTTAGACAAAATAAATAACACAGAAATAATAAATTATATAATTTGTATATATAACTAAAATATAAATAATTTATAACACATCAATAATGTCTTCATCAGCAAAGCGGTCCATGTCCAAAGTACAAGAATTACCAAAGGTAATATTTAATACTTTTTATACTTATGGTATTACAGTAGAAGTAAAATATATTTTTACTTAGAAATTTAATTATATTTAAAAAAATGAATAATGATGCATTATATGTATTTAGCACACAAGCTTTCTGAAAAGTCGTATGGACCTAGGTGGTGGTGACTTCGAATTCTTACGAGGAAAAATTTATCTTAAACCAGAAGATCAGTTACAATTAACAGAAACAGTATGTTTAACATAAAATTTATAAATAACTTTTTGTATCTTATTTCCAAAATAAAATTTTAGGAATTGCAAGAAGAAATTGCAAGAGTATTAACTATACATAATACAAGAGTTCCAGATTCTTTAGTTGAATGGTCATGGAAATTGAAGAATTTTATAAAATTGCCTCCCCCACCACATTTAGTAACTCTTTTAAATGTACCTGGGTTGATATTACATAAAGATTCTGAAGAAGCAAAAGTACAATTAGCAGGTGGACTTGGTAAATGTTCTTGCAATGGAAAATAATTTTAAAAATCATAATTAATTTAATATTCTATTAAATTGCAAAATTGCAATATTTTGTTATAGTGACAGATCATGAAGCAATGCCTCACAAAACTGAAGATGAAGAAGAAGAAGGAGAAGAAGAAGGAATGGAAGCAGAAGAAGAAGAAGAGGAAGAAGAAGAAGCACATGAGCAAGATGGTAGGATAAATAGTATATAAAATGAACAAAATATATAAATATTTTTAATTTTTGAGCACCATTAATAATAGATAAATTACTGACATTATTAATAGAAGGTGAAGAAGAGCATAAAGAAGGTGAACACGACCATGAACACGACCATGAACCAGATGAAGAAGAAGAACGAGTAAAACCTAAAAAAATACCAAATCAATTTAATTTTTGTGAAAGAGCTGCTTTAACATACAGTAATCCTATGCGAGTATGTTATTAAAAATTAAGTCAAATGAAATATAGTTTTTACATATATCTGATTGACTTTAATTCTACAGGAAATGAGTACCCAAACAGTACCACCACCAACAGCTGAATTTAATACTCATGTTTTCCAATGGACAATCTTCGATGAATATCAGGCATGTACATATTCTCATCTTCTATTAAACTAATTCGAATTACATGCAGATATAACATATAGCTTATACTATAGGAAGATTTTGCTCAACAACAACGTGAAAGAGAAAGAGAAAGAAGAATTCCACTTGCACAACCAAAAAAGGAAGATCCAAAGAAAAAAACTGATACAGAATCTGCAGCACTAGCGTCAAGAATGTTACAAGCTGTGAAAACATTGGAGCGAATGGTGAATCAAAATATTTTTGATGAAATATTACAAGGTCGATATTTTATTTCATTGTCCATAAAGAATTGTACCTTATTTCACAGTGCATTTATCTAAATATTTCCAGATTACAGATATTGGGATGATCCAAGTGATGAATTTAAAAGTGGAGAAGGATCATTACTACCCTTATGGAAATTTAGCTATGAAAAGACTAAAAAGCACCATGTTACAGATTTGTGTTTTAACAGTAGATATTATGACTTATTTGCTGTATCTTATGGAACAAGTTAGTAAAATGTAATAAAATTCTATTATAATTTAAATATATAATAAGTGTTTACACATTGTTTCAGTGTCATTTAGTAGTTTAATAACAAATGGTGCAATATGTTTATTTACTTTAAAAAATCCATCATATCCAGAATGGATTTGTCCAACAGAATCTCCAGTAATGTGTTTAGCTTTTAATGAACAACATCCACATCTTTTAGTCATTGGTAAAAAAAATAATAATACAGCCCTATATCATATTAAATATAGTATTGTTATAACACAAATTTGCTTGCAATTAAGGTACTACAGATGGTGCAGTAGCTGTTTATAATATTATGCTACCACCAACAGCTCCTCAATATAAAAGTAATGATGTTGTTCAAAAACACGGAGGTATTGTATGGGAGGTTTGTTAAGCAGTAAATTCATTATAAATTTAAATTAACCAGTTTTCATACTAATAATGACATAATAATTAGGTATGTTGGGCACCAGACACAGAAGAAGGTAATTTGGCATTTTATAGTGTCAGTATTGATGGAAAAATTAACTACTGGATATTAAATCAAAATGAACTTGGTTTAACAACTGTAATGACATTGTTCTTAGACCGTCCACCAATACCTGGACCTGATGGGACTATGATTACACTTAAAGGTAATCGTGCTTAATATAATTTTTCTCTTGAATGTTATGCAATCATATGAATAATCTCGTATATATAGGCTGTGGAACATGCATAGCATTTCATCCTGCAGATCAAAATATATTCTTAGTTGGAACAGAAGAAGGAACAATTTATAAATGCAATACAGCATATAGTAGTGTTTATATGAGGACTTATAACGAAGCACATAATATGCCAGTATACAGAATAGTATTTAATAAATTTAATTCAAACATATTTGCAAGCTGTTCGGGTGACTGGAGAATAAAAATATGGGAAGATGAGAGAATGTAAGAACATGTAAGAACGAGTAAAATAGATAATAAAAGTTTATAATTCTTAGATGAATATTTATTAAATATAAAAATATAGGGAACCTCTGTTTATGTTTGATCTTGGTGTTCCAATTGGAGATGTTCAATGGGCTCCATATAGTTCAACGGTACTAGCTTGTGTTTCAAATGATGGTAAAGTTACAGTATTTGATCTGAATGTGAACAAGTATAGACCAATATGTAGTCAACCAGTTGTTAATAGAAAGAAAAATAAACCGACTCGACTTGCATTCAACAATAAATTACCATTCATTATAGTTGGTGATGATAAGTAAGTATTTTATATTTTTATTTAGTAGATGAATGTTGTTTTAATATTTAATTCAATACCTTAATTTATTATTATATTTGTTTTTTATACTAACAGGGGTGCAATAAATACATTGAAGTTGTCACCAAACCTCAGACTAAAGGTAAAGCCAACAAAGAAACAGCTTCATTTAACTCATACAGAATTAGAAGTTATGAAATTAGAAAAATTATTGAGTTTTGTACGTGAGCCAGCTGTACTAGTACCACCAAAAGATGAAAGGATAGAGTAACTTAATGGAACGAAATCTTAAAGATCTCTTTTTAAAAATAAACTCTATTTATGTGTATGAAATGTTATACTCTCCATTATTTACTTATAATGTATAGTACCATTTTTATTCTCATTTTTGTGTTTTTAGTATATTTAATTGCAAGGTCATTTATACATCTTTTTAAAATATCACTTTATAACAATTATGTACATATTTCAATTTTTTGTAAACATCAACACTTTATTAACATTTTTTATAACAGAAAATACATATTAATATTTGTGTCTTTATAAATAAATTGGCACTAAATTTAGAGTACATGTAAAATATTGTTATAATTTACAAATTTAAACTTATTATCTACAATAGCTATAACGTTTCCTAAACTAGAAGCAATTTAACCATTATGAAACTACTTTAATATATCCTTCTGTAACTAGAGTTATTAAAGTTCTTGCAATTCCATATATGTTTGTAACAATATAGCATAGCTTTATGATTATTTTTAAATATTAAAGAATAAATTGAAAACATAAAAATCATGCACATTACCTATATATTTAGGTAGCGTAATATGTATTTAAATAGTTATTATATTTCAAGAAATATAATAACAAAAAACATTTAAATATTAAATTACATAATCAATAATAAACATTTATAAAAATATGGTTTATATAAAGAGCCATATTTTTTATCATTTTTATAAAGAAAGGTCTTTTAATAAGTACAAAAGATCTTAATTTAATGTCACACTCAAATTTTTGTAAACTTAATATAAAATATTATTATCGCACAAATCTTATGTTCAAATATAGTAATCACTGGCTATCACAGTGTCTGGTATGTTTTTTAAGAATACTCGACTAAATATGAAAATAACTTGAAATACTTCGTACAATGAATAAAATTTATAAAATGACTTAGTATATAATACATTTCTGAATAAGAGTAAATCAGGTAATGAATAAATATGAAAAATATATCACAGCAACATTAATTTATAAAAGGGAAATAAATGGAATAATTTCAATAAAGACTATTCCTCTAAATATGAATAAATATTGATTACTTTCAATATATATTTTTTAGAAAATTATCAAATAGCATATAAAACTAAATAATCTCTACATTTTTGGCACATTAATATTTAGTAAAACAAAACTGAAATTGTACAATTTCCTGAATTTTTTTTGCAACTCATTAAATAATACATATCAATTAAAGACTTTTTGAGGAACTTGTGATAATGTCTGATAATTGGTGGCAAGGTAGAAAAAATAGATTTATGAAGAATGATTAAATAAATACGTAAACATAATAAAAAATGTAAATTAGTGTCTACACACTAATTATTCACTATATATCCTAGAAAATATTCTCCTTTAACTATCATACTAAAATCATAGCAAAATTATTAATGATTCTTACTTTATAATACAATTGTATTAGTATTTATAAAATATTGGAAAATAATATTTTTTTTTACGAAAAAACTAAATTTATTTCTAATTCAGCTTTTTAATAATATTTATTAATTCGGATACTTTAAGGTAGTATGAAAAACATGTAAAACTGATTACATTTTAGGTAAGTCTGTTACTGATTATATAATGTATATTATAGATATAAGAATTACTTTATATTAACTTCATATGCCATTTGCTACAAAATTAATATTTGATAAATATAAAGCCTAAAAAGACATTTTACCAGGGAGCTCTGGATTTTCTATCACACCTTTGAAATATTTCAATTCTAAAAAATCCCTAATATTGTTTGGACATGGCACTTGTCTACCAGCAAACTCAATAGTAGACATCGGGTGAAGAAATTGCTCTGGAAAGTCTTTATTGTTTAAAAACCATGCATCTTTAACCATAGAGCCATTTTTTGCATAAAATGGAAGTACATTTACAGTTAAATGATTTATTCTAGAATACTGTACTTTAAAAAATTCTCCTTCTGTTGCCTTCTCCCAAACAAAACCATGATTATCAACAATTGGTTTGTTCATGGCTTTAATTAACCATGGTGATCGTTCAAGATCATCACGATTTACTCCTATTTGTACTTCATGATCCCATGGCAGAATGTCACCATTTCTCATAGCACCAAGTAAAGATCCACTTTCTAACCAAAATCGAATACCAACCTCTTCTAACTTATCAAATACATGATGAGCAACTTTCCTCAATCCTGAGAGACAGCAAGGTGGTGTGTATCGATTTTGATAGAGATACGATGGAATACCATTTATGACTGATCCAAAGCATCTACTACTTTCTCTTGAACACCCATACCATTCTATAGAATTGGAAAGTCTTATTACCTTTTTAATTCCTAGCTTTTCAAACATTGATCGTTCACGGCTTTGGTACAACTGTTGCAGTTTCCATTGAGACTGCTGATTTCTATACAATGGTTTTCCTTCATTAAATTGAAAATCTGACAATATGTGAATCTGGTAACAGATAATACATTATAAATATAATAAATATAACATACAGACTTAGAAAAATAAGTAATATACCTTTATACTTAATGCAGTTGTTTGAATATACAAAGCATCAGTAAAAGGTAAAAGGAAAGGATCACTTAATTTCCTTAATAATTTTGTTTCAAACATTGTAGCATGTTTTCCATTCACACTATCACATTCATTGCCTGCAGTATGTGAAAATCTAAGACTCCATTCTTTTATTTTTAAATCTATATTGATGCAATTTAATGTTATGCTTCCTATTGGTATAGTTACTATGCCAAATTTTGCTGCTTGTGTTATAGTATCCTATGGAAAAATAAATTTTAAATAAATATTTAATATAATACTAAAGTAACATTTAATATTAATTTAATTCTTACTTGCATGACTTGTTTAGAAGAAAGTCTGCTACCATCGGGCAAAAATAAAACGTACTTTGTACGTATATAGAAAAGTGGATTTCTTTCATCGTAAGATTTATTGAATTCTGGTTCCACACTTATTAATTTAACATTTTGCATGCTTTCATTGGCAAAATCTAATTGGAGTGGTGGATATGGTAACTCATTGCATACTATTAAAATAGGCATAGTAGGAAAAAAGTTCAATACAGATTCCACAGTGGAGGTCACATCATTTTCAAATGTTTCAAACTGTCGAATGACTACAGTTACTAATCGAGCTAATCGTCGATGAAGTTTCTGCGGAGGATCAGGAGTTACCATGCTTGGTGTCAACAACCGCAAAGTATTTTGTGCTGTAAATAACCTCCATATTCTATGCCATACAATGATATTACCTAACAGTGCAAGCACTAACAGCGTTCTTACAAACTTAAGGCGCATAATTATCGCAGATTTTGTAATGTCATTGTATGTCCAATTTTCTATCACTTAATTTCTATACCATTGCACACCTAAATAATGTTTGAATGTTTGATTTGACAAATTTCTTTTGCATGGTCAATTTGTATCTACTCAGTACTACCAATCTATTAAATGCTTTTCTACGCGTGACACTATATTCTGGTGACATTGTAAATATGTATGTTGAGAATACTGCTATAGTGTTGTTTTTACATAAACGTCAAAATCTACGTCTATGATACTCGGCGTTTCACTGAAGTTAGTAAGAAATTAACATCTAACCATTTGTTAGTTGTTCCAGAATAATTCAAAGAACGAAAAATTCTGAAATTCAAATACGTTTTTACAAGAGTATCATTTTTATTGACATATAAATCATGCCTCTTCATCGTTACACTCATGCGGTACTATGCAGAATTCCTCTTTCGCTTCGTACAAGAGGTGAGGTCACATTAGATGAAGCTAGAACGCAACATTTAGCACTAGCTCAACTTTTACGAGAACTCGACATTGATGTTGTTGAAATGCCACCGGATGAAAATTCACCGCTTTGCGTTTTCGTGGAAGATATCGCAGTGGTTTGTAATGGTATTGCGCTTATAGCGCGACCGAACGAACCATCGCGCCTAAAAGAGGTACGCATAATCAATTTTTATTCATTAACATACATTTTTTTAATTATATAGTTTTGTATTCCGCATTTAATAGTTCTTGACTTAAATATATTTCCACATTACTTGAAAAAATAAGATACGGGTTTGCAGTGAAAATTTACTTTATACATATCAAGTAATAGATATAAAATTTATAGTTTATAACATGGATAATTCTTTTAATTACATTTGTATTATAAACAATGTTTGTTAAACAATTACATTGTAATAAGTTATATCTTTATTATGCAATACTTCCAGCATATAAAGAACTAAAAAAATGATGATCTAATTTCAGATTGAGACAATTAGAGCAATTTTAAAGAAAGAGTTGGAGATTCCACTTATAGAAATAGCAGATAAAAATGCTCGCCTAGATGGAGGAGATGTATTATTTACTGGTACAATTTAATTTATCTTTAGTTTATAAGATATATTAACAAATATTTATTCAAATTAATCTTTTATTACAGGGCGTGAGTTTTTTGTTGGACTGTCTCACTACACGAATGAAGCAGGTGCAAGAGCAGTTGCAGCAGCTTTCCCAGAATATCCATGTGTACCTATTAAGGTCAGTTACTAAACATTTCACTTAATCTTTAACATATATATTGGTATTTGTTTTTTAACAATGTATTCAATTTATTTTTTAAACCTTTACACAAACTTCTAATGTTAATATATTACTTTGAAAATATACAAATTTGCATGTATTATTTAGTGAAATACTTACTAATCCTGTTAGTATGTAGTGTAATCAATGTTACTAATAACTATAATGTGTGACAGAGAAAATGTATATGTGTATTGTGATTGTTTGCTTTAGAGTTATATTTTTTCTCATGTTTTTAGTGTTTACACAACATCATATTGATTGATATAAACATCTTTATTATAGACTTAGAACTAAATAGTTGTAATTTTAACCCTCTATTTTTCTGAATTTGTGATAAATTTGTTATGTTTGTACTAACAAATGGTAACATATTTTCAACAAGTTTACTTGAATATTAAATAAATATGTTTACACCACATTTTACAGTTATAGACTATGTATAAATACACACACACAAACATTGGGTTCAAATATGATTGATTACAACAAAGTTTTGAGTTCAAGCAACTTAATGTTTTGGTGTTTATTTAAGGTGGGTGATGGTGGTGAAGAGGTGATAGTGGAGAGTCTTACCTCAGCCCCAATACAGGTTTGGGTGTACTAGACTGACTCTCTTTTGCATATTTCATTAAAAAAAAAGGACACTAGAAACACAAATTTGCACGATTCAATGAATTTATTTATACAAACATTTTTTATAATTAACTATTACAGATTTTAACAAAATGCTTTTAAAGAAAAAATGTCATACAGTATGCGAGCTATGGCTTTGTGCAATTCTGCACACAGGGCACACAAATATACAAAATTGTAATTCACTTTCGCACGTGAATACGTTATTTTTCTATTGCATAATATTAATAATATATTTTTCACGTCATAGAATTTTATAAAATACCGCTTCAATCGATTATTATAAAAAAGGATATATACTATTATATAAAAAATAAGGCTTATGTTTGTAGGAGTTAGTTCCCAACATCTTTATAATTGCCAAGTTTTAATGATCGATCGAAGTTCAGAATGAGTATTTTGATTGATTTTATTTGATTGTTTTTCGTATGCAATACTATACGAAATAGACAATATTATGTTCAGTACTTATAATTCCTTATTTCATGCATTGTGGATAAATGTTACAATACACTACAAATTATGCTTAAAATATTAATGAATTTATTTTACTGTAATAAAATATAATCATATGATAATGTATAATTACATTAAAATGTGTACAAAAAGAGACGAATGTTAAAAATTTGTGCATTATTGCATTTGTTAATACAATTTAAGACTAATTAAAATATAAAAATATATATCTCTGTATAATTATTGTTCACAGGTTGCTGAGTCTAAACGTCTTAAAGGCTTAGTTACAATGGCTGGCCCAGATATCATATGCGTGGGTGCTGGAAAAGAAGCACAGGAAGTACTGAAGGTACATTACTCTACTTTTCTGATCTGTTAATTTTATATTATAATTGCTTATATATTTGTATTATGTACAATCTAGAGAATTGAGAGGGAGGCAACTTACAGTTATCAAACATTAACTGTGCCTGAAGATGCTGCTGCCAATGTATTATATGTTAATGGAACATTGATTCATCGATCAGAGGATGAAATCCCGCAATCAAGTAAAGTCTTTGCAGAGAAAATTGAATTTCCAACCAGATCTTTACCTATGTCTGAATTAGCAAAGGTTAGTTCAGGTTTAACTTCTTGTTGTTTATTGGTACGTAGACCAAGACATATTCGCAGTATTTAAACCAAAAAGGATGATATACTTTAGCGAACATGTTGAGCCGTGAGCGGTATATACGCGAATCAAAAAATTCAGAGTTTGAATATTTCTAACAAGAAATATTACCATAATGCTGTGCGAAACCTGTAATACAGACGTAGCATTTACGTCGCTCTAAAACTTTAATGACTACTTCAATGAATAGAAAAGATTATTTTATAATTATTTTATTAAAGATTATTTTAATATAAAAGAGATTTTATAATTGAAAAGATTAATATATTTGATTTTAACATATTTACAGTAGAGGTAATATATTAATACTTTAATTATTTGTAGATTTATATTGCATATATGAAACTGATTTACATCTTGCCATTTTGCATAAAAAGATTATTATTGTTTTTAACATTTTTTAATTTTATTGTGGCAGCATTTATAGACATACAAATATTTTTGTATATTTCCATGAATTTAAACAGTTTCTACGTTTGTTTATTTTTTTTTATATTATATGCTTTAATAACGTGTTATCAATCATTACACATAATGAATTCATTATCAAAATGTAATAATTCATATTGCACAAAATTACTTTTTTATAAAGACACAAAATATATAAAAAAAAGTTGATTTGTAAATTATACGATTAAATCAAAATGAATTTTTAATATAGCACAAAACGAACAAAACCATAAAGTTAATAAGATATGACATTATACGTAGTTAATGTCTTCTACTTTTGATATTTTGCGTTATATAATTAAGAATTGATCATTAAAAATCAATTGTCAATATTCTGATATCCTTGAATGCATTTGCTACTAGTCTATAAAAAGTGTTCACCTAACTATTTGAATAGAGTTCTTCTATAATTCAATAATATTCTACAGAGTTAATGATATATAAAAGCACTGATAGTTAAGGGTTAATGTGCTGATTCACATTATAGCAAAGTTACACGATTAAGAGTCTACAAAACAGAAACAAATAAATTTCTGTATAATAATAGATTTCATATATACACAGTATATATTGAGATAAGCTTGAAATGTTTTTGCAAATTTACAATGTCTGTGAAGTATTAATACAATTTACAGTATGACGATGTAACGATTTTTCCTCATACTTTTAAGTCATGACAATATTTAAGTGATTTAAACATACCTTTATATCTATTGATATGAAGGCTTCACGTTCGAGCATTTCTTATATTTCCACAGTAATCATTTCTTTAACATGTAAATATATTAATTCTATGAATTTTGTCATTTGAAAATAGCTTTCGACAAATGTTTCACCATTTCTATTATTAGATTTAGTGCTATCCTATTATAATTCTTTTACAATTTTTGTCAAAATGTATAAGACTACGAAGCTGTAAACAAAATAAAAGTTAAATGCTAGACGTTAGTAGTCTGGTTCTTAGTTAATACCTTACCCGTGTGAATGATAATACATACATAAATATATATAATCGACAATAGCGTAATTAATAAAATAGTTGATTTATTCAAAAAATTTTTTCACAAAACATACGCAATATTTTGTACGAATGAACAATGTAACAGAGTATGTGTATTATATTCGAAATTTCAAATTTTGTACACCATTTTTTTTTTTGTTTTTAATACAAATACCGTATTTACCAATTTTAGCTTTGATGTTAGACGTAGGACTAGTATCTTTCTAGGAAATACCTATGATAAAAGAAGTTCATATTTGCTTATAATTAGTCAAAATATCTTCGTTAAAATCATTTTATTTAGGCTATAATGATTGTCGATGCAATGACTGATATTGAAAATATCTGCAATAGACTCTCATTATATCGCCACGCGTTATGAAATAAAATAAATTATTAAAACTAGTCATTATAATTTTGAACAATTATAAGCAAACATGCGGAACACTTTGTTTGAGGATTATACAAATTACGTATCTGGCATCGTTATTTATTTTAAGTATATCTAATACGGAAGCAATTACTCTTTTCTTTACATTTGGTGGTTCGAAATTTAGGAACGATTGGTATAGCAAACGTGTTATTAAAAAAATAATACAGTCTTGCTGCATTCCTTGTATTCGAATATATTGGTCCTTGGTAAACACGCATTCCTGGACAATTAACTCATTCAAACACGAGTCTTTTCACATAAAAAGACACTGATTATACTATAATTTATATTATATCACTTGCTGCTTTTTTATTATTCATTCATTCATTCACTTATTTGCGTGTCTATGATTAAGTCATCGATACGATTCAACTAATTTTAAAAACGACCGATTTCTTCGTATATAAATGTTCATGTCTTTATGAATAAAATGTTAAAACGGACGTATGATTTCCTCGGACAAGTAAAAATGGCGGCATATTGCGTGTTAGAATTTCTAACCAGGCCATGTAAAGAGGTGCTGATACAGCACCCTTTCTAGGCATTGGTAATGTCCTGAGAAATAAAATACAGTACAATTAATATTTCAGTAATTATAATATTAAACAATTCAATTTTGTTAACGAAATATCACTTACATGACAACTAAATTGGCTTCCATCGAGTTCTCAAGCAACAGTTCTCGCAAGCGTAGATGCCTGTTCGTCTTTTCCTTCATGGCGAGTAATTCAGACTCTTTAATTGCATCTGCAAGTAAAGGAAGTATTTTATTAAATTTTAACATATATTATAAATAATGAACTAATTATAATATTGTACTAGAGTAATTCCAATATTTATTATAAAAAATACCATCGTTTGTCGCTTTTGGATCTTCAGCCTGCTGAAAATGTTCTATCAACAAATTGAACAAGTTTTTCGTGCTCTCCTGTGCTGGTTTCGATATATCAGGTATAACTTTCAGCGCCGAATAATCTATCCGGAATTTCGATAAAAGACTTGCCATACTAAAAACACAAAAATCATAATATTATTATAACAATGATATTTGTATATCAATTTATTTCGAAACTCACTTTCTCTGTTCATATTCTAGTTCAGAGTTTTTATTTGCAAGAGCAAACACTCGTAATTTACTGTTCGACCAGTTGCGTCTTGTACTTATGATATAGGGTAACAAAAGAGTTAAGCCACCATCATCGTACAACCACCATACGTCGATGGTACCCTTTTTCTGTTTACGCTGGAATTTTGTTACAACGTTAAGTATATCCTTCGCTTCAGGTATGATAGTCTGCCGATTTTCGCGTTCTTCCGTTGGATTGGGATATTCGTTGATCGTTTTGGACCTCCTTGGCGCGGGACTACCAGGAATCGAAATGTCCGATGTACTACTGGCTGCATAAAAAAACACTCATGTATAACACAATTCTGAGGAATTTCTTATACAATATCTATTCGCAAAGAATTAGTGTCAAACCTTGACTGAGTTGCGAGAAACTTTGATTTCCTGGTAACGTAGATGGAATATTTTTCTTTTGCTCGTCATTGTCTCCTATGGTTGCGCTACAGTCCAAACCCTCGCTTATTCGGAGAAGCGCTACCGCTATGTGCATATCCAATGCTTTACTGCGGAAATAGATATATAATATCATTTTGACTTTTATAAAATAGGCAGTCAGAATCGAGTGATATATCAATGTTGGACTAGCTAGTAAACTTTAATTTTGAATTCTATTCCAAAACATCGTATGCATGACATTAACCTGGGTAATAATTACTAGCCTCATCTCAGAATTTACCCTGGTGTTTATTGTTGGGCATTGTCCTTTAATTTACAACGTATCTATCGAAACATTTCAAGATGCCATTTTGTGAACACTTCTATGTTCTTATTAGAACATTTATACCTAGGTACCCTAATTATAAGACCCCGGGAATACCAGTTAAATCTCAGGAATTCCCATCGTAAAACCTCGGGAATCCCAGTTATAAAACAATTATGGACATTTCACTTGGTAACGCAAGTATATATTTAAGAAAATATACCTTTGAACAAATACTTACTGCATTACGTTAAAGTACATATTCAATTTATCTCGTGGGCAAGTCGCCCAGTCTTGCTTGTAGCCCATTAACAAAATGTTGGGCCTCATTTTCCCTAAACCAGCAGCTTGCAACAGCGTGGTAGTACCGTCTTGAAAGTTTGCACCATCCACCACAGAATAAAATGCTTTGATCTTATTCGCTCTGAACCAGGAAGTACACTTCTCGATCATGGAATTTCGCGTCTTATATGATACTGGTGTCTGAAACATGAACATGAAAAATATGAATAAAAACAGGAAATAATTGCTACATGACTTTAGAGCTGTAAAAGCTAATTATAAGAAAGATCATATGAATAGAATTCATGCAACGTTTAACTCGTGTAGCTCATAAGTTTGGTAACGAAACTTTACCTCTATGACATGACCGCAAATAAATAAACTATTATTTTTGGTGATATGGTGTGCAAAATCAACGAGTGCTGATCTCGTACTCGGCATACCAGTGAGTACTAACAATTGAGGCCTATAATTTTTAACGTGTTCCTCGACTCTGTCCAGTTGTTGGACAGCAGTCAAGGCGTTATTGTACGTTTGAGCTTGTGTGGTAGAACCCCAATTTACGTCTGTAAAAGAATTTTAATTATTATGATGCTATTGAAAATAGAGAAATTATGAAATGTTACCTGGTTTCCGGTACGAGACTACTAAATAAAGTGCTAAGACTACGCTTAAAGTGATTAACGCCGTCCACCATGAGATCAAGAACATCACAGAAACGCAGAGTATAGCACCAGCGAGACTCAGCCACATGTTATAATACTAAAATGAAGAAGAGGTAGAATAAAAACATCGAATTGAAGTATAATTAAATATTGTGGGGTAGGGCCTTAAGGGCGACGTCGTCGATACTGGCGTCTCAAGATGTATTATACAGTATCACGACGTAACGAAATAATGAAAGAGTAGAGAGTCGATTATTAGAGGAGTTGTTCATATCGTTAAATATTATTTTGTCAAAATATAATTTATAACAATCAATAATAAAGTTTATAATGTTTCTCATTAGAAGTATTAAGTTAAAATTGCATTTTAATAAATTCAATAAACTTTCTTTAAATAATTACTATATTTGTAAGTTATAAGTAAGATAAGATTACCTTAAACGTTGGTCGCCAACCGATTGGTTTGGCCAGTGATGCATGAAAAGTGCTAAAATTAATAAGGGTGTAGGCGGCCAAAAAGAAGTTTGAGATCAAAGGAGCTATGGCATTCAATTCCCCTAAGACAGAATAAATATTCAATCAAATTTTTCAATACAGAAGAAATTATATTTAGTTAATAAATAAGGGTGCAATCTTTACCGATTAAAATGAAACCAACAGCGATCACGAAAGTGAGGAAATAACCACGAATCGGTTCTTTATCCTTTTCGCCGCTGAACCACGATATTCCAGGATACAATTCATCGAGGCAAAGTGCTTGAAATACTTTGGGCGCGGAAACTAACGACGCTAAAGCACTTGACAATGTGGCCGCGAAACATCCAGCGTAAATGAATGGACCGAACGCGGAAACCAATTCTATCACCTGAAAACAGTTAATTAATTATTTCTGTTTTGGTTATATTTATGTAGTACGACACAGATTTGAAGATGCGGATATTTGAGAAGATAGGAGGTTGAAGATTTGAGTATTTGGAGATTTAAGAGATTTGGGGATTTGGGATTTGGAAGAGTGAGAATTTGGGAATTTAAGACTCTGAGCATTTGGAAATTTGAGAGTTTAGAGATTTGGAGGATTGGGAGCTGAAAGAGTGGGAATTTGGGGATTTAAGACTCTGGGGATTTGGAAATTTGAGAATTTAGAGATTTGCAGCTTTGAGAGTTAGAAGAGTGAGAATTTGGGAATTTAAGACTCTGAGCATTTGGAAATTTGACAGTTTAGAGATTTGGAGGTTTGGGAGTTGAAAGAGTGGGAATTTGGGGATTTGGAAATTTGAGAATTTAGAGATTTGCAGCTTTGAGAGTTAGAAGAGCGAGAATTTGGAGATCTAAGACTCTGAGGATTTGGAAATTTGAAAATTTAGAGATTTGGAAATTTGGGACTTCAAAGAGTGAGAATTTGGAGATCTAAGACTCGAAGAGTCTTTGAATTTGAAGATTTAAAAATACAAAAATTTTAGGATTTGAACATTTCGAAGTCAGCAAATTTTCAACCACTCAAAGTCAAAGATAAAAAATACCTGAAAACTGTTGTGGCTACCATAAGGGCAGTTGCCCGTACAGTTGAATTTCGTGCCATACATGCTCCACGTTAATTGACTCGGATTCAAAAGATTATCGTCAGTAGCAATTGGGCTTTCAGCTGTTTGGTTCGTCACATTGAAGCTCGACAAAACGTTATATGAACTATTGTAAACGTTCCATAAGTCATTAACGTCGCCAGACGCGTCTCGTACGACTGTACCTCCTACCATAAATGCCATGAATATGTAAGAAATTGTTGTCAATAGAATTGCTAACAAAGTTCCCTTTGGAATGGCTGTTTGAGGATCCTACCGATAAAATGAAAATTATTAGCCTGGAATCTAAATATTTATCCATTTTATTTCTAACTATGAATTTTCGAGACATTAAATGTGTGAATATACTTAAAATTCAAAATTTAAATATAAAGGGCTTTGAAGTACCTCGAATCGATTTAAACCTAGTATTTCATGATTTAATAGAATTTCAGAAAATTTAAGATTGTCGAGGGCAGGGTTCAGATACGATTCGAAACACTTCATGGTTCAGTTGTTTTTTCAAGACAGAATGTACAACGCAAAATTGTGAAGAAATTAAAGAATATCGAAGTAACAAATTATTGTTAAAATTAAGTAACACTATGACTTAACGATTAAAGTATTAAGAAATATTCCCTGTAGACGAAAGGACTAAATCACCTTCAAATCACCGGATATATTCGCACCTGCCAGGATACCTGTTGCTGCTGGGAAAAAGATAGCCAAGACTGAAAAAAAATTATGTTCCATCCCTTCGCTGTATCTGTAGTCCGGATGAAAGTTTTCCATGAACAGATCAGCTGTGAACATAAAATAAATCGTAAATCGAAAAGTTTGGAGCTCTTGGAATTTTAGACAGAAACAGACTCGTGTAAACGCGTCATGAATTTTAATCTTCCGTCTAGCTCAAGCATGGTCAAACGCTCGTCGACAATTACACAATTTATCTTTGTGAATGTACTCATATTATAAAAATTTACCATTGTATCCCATAAATCCTTTAGCTCTCTCCAAATCGTCTTTGGGTCCAATAAAAGTGCCAATCATAAAATCAGCGATGGCCAACAGCAAAATAACAAGTAAACCAATCTGAGCCTTCGCTTCCCATTCCAAACCGATCATCACGATTAAGAGCAACAGAACTACCGTAATACAACCTGTACCAAACAAACCATTGAAAATATCTTAACAAAATATCTTTCGTTAATTTCTACGAACCTATGATCCTGATATCCGTGTTATCACAATCGACGATGCAAACTCCGTTCGATTTCAAACAGTCTACCATACTTTCACAAAATCCAACAACGTACATAGAGCACGCGACCGCGTTCGCTAAAGAAAATATGAGTCCTATTGCTCCTCCGAATTCTGGACCCAGTGATCTGGAGATCATGTAATATGTACCACCTGCGAAAAATGTTTAATCTTATCGAATTGACAATATCTAATAGACAAAAACAGTGAAGTTATTAGTTCAGAACGAATTAATCGATTCATGTATATGTGACCAGGATCCTGAACTGGTAACACAAGTATCTCAAGTTTCAATTCATGAATTTATGCAAGATCTGTTTGTGTAGATATATGTAGATATGAATTACATGCGTTCATGTGAACACATATACACAGAATTATGTATTTGCACAATTACGTGTATGCAAATCACATGTAATCGTATGAATACCAGTACCTGCATGCAAATATTAAAAGACAAAAATATAAGAATTTGTTGAATTTTAGTATCGCAAATAATAAGTGAATTGTACAATTGCCTGCTTCTAATGAAATGAACAAACAGATGAAGAAATAGTTGTGAGTTAATCAACAATTTTTTTAACAAATTCAACTAGACTTTATACAATTTTGCTACATGTGAATATTCACGTTTTTTGATAGATCGAAACGTCGCTAAATATTTCAGCAAGCTCTTTAATTACTGTTAGCGTTTTCCAATATTATATAATCTGTTGAAAATCATAATCACCAGTCTAACCGTGTTATAATCGACGACAACTGTTACTCACCTCCTTTAATAAGCCCGTTCGTGCTAATCGCCGACATCGATAACGATGTAATAGTGGTCACAACTGTCGTCGTTAGAATCAATAAAATAGCTTGTCCTGAAAGCATGAAGTAAATGATTTAGTATACTTGATCGAAACATTTCGATGTTTTATTAATTACCTATCCCAGCTTGTGCCACGACCCAAGAGAGTCGTAGGAATAACATCACCCCCCAAATATTGAGTAGACATCTTAACAACACTCCTTGAATCCATCCGAATTTCACTCCGGTTGTGGGTGGCTTCACGTGGGCTATCGGCAAAATGTGCGAACCTGAACTCTGAGAGAAAAAAATGAAATATTAAAATATGGACATTTGCAGATTTAGAAGTTTGAGACTTTAGGAATTTAGGGATTTTGAACATTTGATCGTTAAAATATGGACATTTATAGATTTAGAAGTTTGAGAATTTGTGAATTTTTTGGATTTAGAAATTTGGGAACTTGGTCGTTGGAATATGGACATTTATAGATTTGAAAGTTTGAAAATGTGAGAATTTATGGACTTAGGCATTTGAGAATTTGGGGATTTGAAAATTTGAAGGTTCAGAAATTTAAATACAGAAATTTGAAATTCAAAGCACCAAGAACTTCAACTTTGATAAATTCAAAAACATAGAAATTCCTAAGTTTCAAGGAACGCGTAACACTTGATCACACAACATGCATTAGCATAACGTTTGATCATACAACATTTGATCATTAAGCCGCAATATACCGTTTGATCATGCAATGATTACAAACATTTCGGTCCACGCTCCTCCAAATAACAGGTAGACGCAGAATTTGTAGAATTAGAGATCGCAATAGACCCGTAGATCTCTGTACGTGAACGTTACGCGTAGATTGAGATTTAGAGGTGGTTATCGGCATTGAAGGTGATTCGTCTAGAGGAAGGGTCGCCAGTCGACCAATGAAGACTAACGATTTACGTAACAATGCCTCACATGCCGTGCATTACACGTCGCCCAATGTTGAAAGACTTTTTAGAAATTCAGTATTCGAGATCATGGAAATCATACTGGTATACCTTCCTCGAATCTAAAACTATGTCTGCGCAATTTCCACTCTCACGACAGGATTAAAACAAACACCCATGTAAAAACATTCAGCGAAAATATTTGTACGAAATTGAAACAATCGTGAAGAATAGTTCTGATAGAACGATGAAATATTTTCAAGGTTCGAGGTATCTAAACAAAGCCGAGTGAACTAGTTTCGATTTCTAAACACGCATGAATCTGGCCAAACAAACGTTCATCGAAACCTTATAAACGAACAACTGGGTAAACAATAATAGGATTATGCTCCATCAAATGTGGCGAGGTGAGAAGGGTACATCATGGGTTTTCGGTTTATTGCTGGAGATTGATCAGCATTATGGGGAATCCGTTCTCTTCGGTGAAGAAACTTGAATCAGCGAACAATTTGTTCCGAGACACGAACATTCTCAACTGCCTTATAGTTCTCGACGATTATTTCATCCCATTATTTCCCGTTACATCCTCGAATATCGTGTCTTGGACTATAATTGCGAAATTATTCTTACACGTGCTCGCGGATAATTTTGCTGAAACGAGTTTCGAATTTCTTAGGACGATGTATCGTTAGGTGTATGATATAAATTATACTTAACATTTATGTTGATCTAATTTAGCAGATGTGTAGATTGTCTTTGTTGTGGAAAGAGAATATTCTTTTTAAAGTTGTACTTCCATCATTTAATTATAATATAATATAATTTCTACTACAACTAGACAATTGGGAAGAATTCACAAGGTGAACTCTTCAGAAATGGTTTTTTAAAATTACAGGATAAATTACTTAGTTTACATAATAAATTATAATGTGTACTAATGAATGTTTCACTCATCTTGAACCTGATATAAATAAATTTTTACAGAATTTATAATATACAAAAGTAGCGATGATATCCACATATGTTACCTTTGATATACATGTACCAACTTCGATACATATAAAAACGAACATATGTACACATATCCTTGAAATCAGTCAGATATAAATATTCATCCAACATAGTATAACTATATACAACTAAAAAGATGTTAAATTTTAATTAAAAGCAGTTATAACTGAAAACAGTTATAGTGTTAAAACGTGGTTTTTGGACTAATACCGTCCTTGAACTCATCGATTCAATTGCAGACTGCAACGAGGACAAACGAGCTCTCTCTCGCTCAGGAAGAAGAATTTTGTTCATTATTACGGATCATAAACTCGATGTACTCACGTGCGTAAGTGCACGCGACGTGTACAAGTGAGTTACGAGCTTGTACCGTCGAAAGAACAGAACGACAATGAAAAGAATATGTACTTCTACAACGTTACATATACTCCTTCGTATCAACACGCTCGTGCAATGCGCGGTATAATAGTCAAATAATAACGAACGCTTATCCCTCGACCCGTAATGTATTCGGAGCACGCGTTTTACTGGTCCTATGGACGCTGTTATTAAGCGGTGTGTGTTGTACGATTCGAATTCGTGAATGATATTTCAATTTTCTCTTACAATTTATTTTTGGTGATGTTCTATTTATCTTTTGTTCGGTCTGCATTTCGTTTGATTTCGGCTGAAGTTTTTTTGCTGGGAGGGATATGTACAGTAGACTTTCGTTATATTGACACGTATGCAGCAGGAGAGGTAGGTGGAGATAGTTGGAGATAATATGGAGAGCTTTGGAAGTTTGCAAGTTTGTAAATTTGAAAATTTGGGGGAGAACAGGTTTGAAGTTTTGGAAGCTTGTGGATTGAACATTTGAAGGTTTGAGGGTTGACAGATTGTAAATTTGAAAATTTAAAGGTTTGACAGTTTGAAGGTTTGAATGTTTGAAAGATTGTAAATTTAAAAATTTGAAGGTTTGAAGATTAAAAAGTTTGAATGTTTGAAAGACTAAATTTGAAAATTTGAAGCTTGAAAATTTCTCACTCCAAATTCTTAAAAATTCCAAATTGATAATTCAACAAATTTCAAACTAAGAAAATTTCTCAAAGTTCAATATCTATATTCCAATATTTCTTAGTTTCAAAATTTAATAATTTGCAATAGTATCCAGCAATTTCAGTAGCGCTCTACGCAGTTAGACAAAGATACTAATTTCTGGAATAAATACTTCAAGCAACCGTGCATTGCGCAGTAGACGAGGCATGCTTGCGGCATTTACGATCACTTCAAGCGTTTAATTGTTCGGTCAAACGTGGGGGGTCTTTTAAACCCGCTGGAAACCATAAATTCTTGCATCTTCAAATCATGAACGTTTCCAAGATTCGCGTAGAAACCATTATCAATCGTTGCAAAAGAGTCGTTAATTACCTTCGACGATTCGAAAGATTAATGTTAGCTCACGATCAACATTTCCTAAATAAAACTCACAATTTTTAACATTCGCAGAGATCAATTTTATCGTCGTAAAATATCCGTTGCTAATTAAATTTACACCGATACTAAGAATAAAGATTCGCGCATTTCAAAGGTTTGCAATTAAAATCGTAAACCACGAATTGCTAATTAGTTTCTTCTCGCTCGGACCAAAGTGCCCGGTATTTTTATCGTGTCTAGACGTTATCAGTTTTCATTTATCGAGGATAACGAAATTCATGAGTTGACAAACGGTACAGGTCCAAAATTAGCAATTTTACACTTGGTACGCAAATAGATGGGAAAAAATACATTCTGGAATTAACAAATGCTATCTTGTTTTTGACAATACTTTCAGATTAACGAGTACAAAAAATTATCTATCTGTTTTGGTTTTGTATTCAACAGTCGTAAACTCAAAGTAAAGTCAAAGTACGAAAGTTGACATGTGACGTTGGTAGTCTTGAATTTTATTAGTCTATAATTTTATGGATGAATTTGTCATTGCAATCTCCCAGTTCATAATTAACAAACTAAACTAATAAATGCTTATACAGATTCAATGAAGAAAAATGATTTTAAATATGAACACACGTTTTGCAAGTAGTGCAAACAGAAATATAGTCCGTCCTATACGAAGCAACAGAAGCTAATATTGAGATCATTCAGGTATCTTTGACGAGTAATAAAATGATTGGTAATATTATAGTTTAAATTCGTTCAGCTTTAAATGAAATTTATGAAGCGTTATGAAGAATCGTTTGTAGATTCAATAGAATTGCATCCAAAACTTCAAGTTGAATCGCTGCTCTGTGTCAAGAGCAATCTGGATGATGGATTTAAGCTGTTAGGATAGTTGCGAGGTATATCGTATTTCGTAGCAATCTGTTCAGAGAGTTGTAATTTAGCTAAACTCGTCGTGAAACTTTGGTAAGTGAAACCGTGAAAATGTTTTGTAGTTTTGTGTCTTGCAGCTGTAATCGATCGTAGTTATAATTAATCGTACTTGTAATCAATCGTAATTATAATCAATCGTAGACTCTAAACAAAAAAGACTAAAATTCAATGTTACATTGCTGCATTATTTTAGAGAAGTGTGAATCTCCCAAGTCGAAATATTTGCAATGTAAATTCACCTGTTTCCATTAATTTTTTATTTCCTATGTTTTAAACGGTTTCTTCCGACATTACGTGTTCCTAAAATACACACATGAAAAACCTAATAAGCAAATTTTCAACGTAATAGCCGTGTTTGCATAATATGCTGGACAAACAATTTTTTTGTAATTAACCTTAACAAAATTGTCTGGAAAACTTGATGGAATAGGACTCTTTCGTAATGGTGATTTCAGTGAAGGAACGATTAGTTATTACGATTCTTGCTTTATCTTATGGGAACGGACGATTAATCACGGACAAGAATTCCTTTATTGTTCCCTACATTTATCACCGGTATAAAAAAGCACAGAGAAAACTAATTCATGCACGATTACAATTATAATGAATTAATACATATGAATAAGTATTAGGTAATAGGTAATCTTATCTGTTTTCGCTCACAAGATGTTAGATATCCGCAAAGCTGTAAAATGCAGATTAGATCTCCTCGATACATTGTATATTATCGTGATACATTCTAATTATTCAGAGAACCGGTATCGACGTTATCCAACATGGTATTTCTAAGTATGAATTCTAATTAAATGGCACTCAATCATAGTCAATATGTCACTCTATATGAACGCGATCGAAGAATAAATTAGAAACTATTCAAAGGTGTCAATAAAATATGTTTTGCACGTCAGAATCCGTTTAAATACGAAAGCAAATTTTAGCACTTTTATCGTGTTTAAGTATCGCTTATTACTTCATTGCCTGAAATATGTATGGCGGTCTAATAATAAAAAGGCGAGCCTTCAATATTAGCTTTTGATAAATCCACCTTCAGCACTGTCTACAGAGTTTTTGGACCCGGAGACCCGATTTGAAACTTGAAAATTTTTACCTCTGAAAATATCTGGTTACAGGTTTGAAGTTTCAGAAGTTTGTGTATTTGAAAATTTGAATGTTTGAAAGTTTCAAAGTTTCAAAGTTTGAAGGTTTGAAAGTTTCAAGGTTTAGAGGTTTGAAAGTTTGAAAGAGTGTAAATTTGAAAATTTTAAGATTTGAGAGTTTGAAAGTGTCAAGGTTTGAAAATTTGAAAATTTTAAGGTTTGGGAGTTTGAAGATTTGAAAGTTTGAAGGTTTGAAAGTTTGAAAGTTTGAAAGTTTGAAAGTTTGAAAGTTTGAAGGTTTGAAGACTTGAAAGTTGGAAAATTTGTGCCTTTGAAAATATTTAAATCCGAAAATTGATGACTTAAAAAATTTCCAAGTTTCCAAGAAAGGAAGCTAATTCCAAGTTTGACAACTTAGGAGTCGAAACTTTCAAAATTTGAAAATTTCTGCCTTTGAAAATATCTGAATCCGAAAAGTGACTTGAAAAATTTCTAAAAATTTCAAGAAAAGAATCTAATAAATTTGAAAATGTAAATACAAGATCTTCCAAAAGCAGATCCTAGGGCAAGTGCCTATTATATCCAACACCGCGTTCCCGGTTCCGATAAACCGTACAGGAAAAACAAAACCGTTACTTCCTCCGCATAACGTTTCTCGCATTACACTAACATATTAAAATCGTTGATACAATGTCTATATAACCTCCATTTTTATCTTTTTTATCTTGATATTTTTCTTGCCAATGCAATTTCATGCCATAACTCTTTGTTGATTCTGTGCTTACAGAATTGTGTAATCATTGAACTTTATAATCGCAATCACTGTTGGAATCATTTATGAATACATTGACAAAGAGAAATCGTGAATTAATCGTGACGCGTTAATGAGTAACGTTCGTCGCAGGAAACGCGTTTGATTCCGTGTACAATTACTGGCGATTGTACGATTACGTTTACTATGCTCGTTTAATTTTAGATCGGAATAGCTGACGAGAGGGTCGTAGATAAGGGACCACTGGCTAAGAAAATGGGTGAATGTCAATGTACACGATGCATCATCGGTCTCGTGCACGGACAAATTGTAAGCGACATTTCTGCATACGAGTGCTACAACGAGAGAATAGGGCTGTAAAATTTCGAATTATTATACCAAGGCTCCTCGAATATTTATGGCCTGCCTGTTGAATTACATTTTTATTTAATTGCTACTTTATCTTCTGAAGTCACAAAGTTTTTACATTTCAAAGTCAACATTTAACGTGATACCAATGAGTTTACACTCTGAGAATATTAGAGTTAATATTCGGCTAATTTGGATTATTCGTATAATTCGAATATTCAGAGTATTGAAAGGATTGTATCGAATATTTCTAATATTTTAACATTCGGTAATTTGAATTCAAGTTTCAATATTAGGAGTTTAAATATTTAAGTTTTAATATTGAAAGTTTGCACATTTCAATTTGAATATTCAAAGCCTGCATTCTTCAATTTAAATATATCGAAAGTTTGCATATTACAATTTGAATATTGAAATGTATCTCTATATTACATATCAAATATTGGAAGTATTAGAAGTTTACATATCTAGGTTTGAGCATTGAAAGTTTGCACATTACAATTTGAATATCAAAGTGTATCTCGATATCACATGTTAAATATTCGAATAAAAATTTGAGTTCTATCATTCGAATACATCGAACACCCAAGCGAGAAACGCTGCCGTGTTCGGTTCATTCCGGTATGATTTTTTCATTTAAGTTGTCCCACCCTACAAGCTCTTAAACAAGCATTAATTCAGTCTTAAAATAGACAATCTTGCAATTGCTTAACTCTCAGTTGAGGTTCACTTGATAATGGGCCACAAATAAAAAAAAACTCTGAAACCCTATAAGTAGGTTATGCTTTACTTAATTCACGTATTTTCCTCGAAGACGTTTGACCAACTATAGGAATCCTCTTTTTAGAATTTTTATTGAACTCTGGACGAACCTTGAAGGATTCCTATTTCATGAAATTCCATTAGATGAAGTGTTGATTCCGGCTTTATTTTCGAACTGTGGAACTCTCGGTTTCACAATTACACTTTAGGACTTTAAGAGACATTCTAGACTTTGGTATTTTAAAATTCTGGAATTTTAGGAATTTTACGATTTTGAGAATTTGAGACTTCTACACTTTCAAATTTCAGCAATGAGAGACTTTGAAAATTTGGAATTCTCTTAATTGTAGATATAGGACCCATAAAGTTTAGGTAACCCTCTGAACTCAAGGATAAAAGATTGCTAAGCAAACACTCCGCCATTAATTTCAGGGTTAAACTCCTATCTTCAGCTTCTAAGTACTCTTATTAAAAAAAAACCAACAAGAAACTTTGATAATTTACCCCAAATGCTATCAAAGTGAAGCTACCAAAATATTCTACCGCATGCTTAAAAATTTTCATCCGTAGAACTACGATATAACACGTATCGCACGAACTATAATGAATATGCTACGCATTATAAAACAAAAGGAATAACGGTACTATTAATAGTCAAGTATCATCATTCTTACCTTGTTAAGCAGAGTGGGATTGTGAAGCTCGTCCAAAGATGGTCTATGAGCAGCCTGAATACTCATGATGTTCCTGTAATTGTCCAGCCTGGGTAGAGCCTCTCTGGTCATGTGCCTGAGGGACTTTTTGGTCTCCTGTTCGCCAAGAAGGCTGGCACGTCCTTCGAGACTGTCGACTCGATTCACGTGGAACCTGGTTCTTCTCAATGGATTCAATTCCACCGTCTCGGAATCGGTATCACCGTTTAATCCGTTTTCGTGTGCCATTTTTCTCTCGCACCGCAAGACTCTGTCGGTTCAGTTATCGAAGTTGGGATATGTCACGTTCGAAGCTCAATTACAGAGCAAAATCCGTTAATTCCTTCGTTTTGTAATCGAAGTTCTCTGTTAACAATCTGTTGTACAATCGAACGTATTAATCTCACTGAACTTCGGATTTAGGATTTATCTTTACGGGGAATTCGGTACAGAAATAAACATTTTGATCAATATTTTAACGAGAATTATTTTATGGAAAATTGTATGGTTATGTACATCTTAACCATGGTATGGATATGTACTTAATTTTTGATAAGGCAAACAGTAAAATAATGAAAAGTGGAAAGATTAACAGGAAGTTAGGTCTTAAAAGAGGATCGCCACCCGATGCCCTTGATTCTCGAGTTACAATTAGTTAACAACTGTCGCGTAGGCTTGGCAATTATGAAATTACCCTTGTTTACAACACTCCACACATAATTACTGTTTCTCGACGGGTTAATGCATGGATGTTCTAGTTAGCGAATTAATCGTTTGTAACGTTGTAAAAATCATACTGTGGGCTGATCTTTGAAACTTTGTCTACTTTGAAACGATTTAGATTATCGTGATTTTTCGATACTTATTCAAGCTAATCCTTTTTTCTTTCGAACTCTGATTTGTCGAGAGATCCTGTGTAACTACCTGTTGGAAGAATTGATCTATGTTGCGAGATTAAAAATATTTTAACAGTGAAACGGTTCAAAGTTGCATAAAGTTCCATGCGCAGTAGTTGCTTAATATCTTATCAATAATAGAGATGATTCAAATAATGACTCTGAACGAATGCAATTTTAATACAAATTCTTTTTGAAAATATTTTCAACGTATCAAGAAAAATAAAAAACTGTTAAGCGAACCGAATCCATAAACCAATTACGTGTCATAGAAGTTACCTCCGGAGTGTAATAATTTCAAGTTAATTGGCCATTTAGTGTCACGAATTGCTATTTTAAATTGTACTGAATACATTGTAACACTCGAATTGAAGAAAATTATATCATTTGTTCAATTTCAAGGGCCTCTAATATCACCGTGTTGTTTGAAACAAAATTAGTGTCTTAGTATCTTATGATCAATAATGAATTCATGCAATATGAACATTTTTGTTATATGAATTCAAGTAATATGAATATGATTACTGACCGATTTAAATAAGATTTTCGAAATTGAAGCAATATAATAGTTCGCGTAAATTGCATGCCGTTCATTCATGAAAAGAACGTAGTGAAACACCGCTGACGAACCCTAACAATTTCCAATTTCTCAACACTAAATTATTCTATCGTTCGAATCGCGAACGCACAAAAGAATTATTTTTACAATTTTCGTCACTTTTCAAATATTATCTTACATCTCAGAAAGATAATAACAGAAAGGATTCAGTGGAGTTTCAGGGGTGATTATTCTAGACGAGGGGTTGTGAGCCCTGTTAGAAAAAAATTGTGAAGAGGGTTTCTACATTCCTTCCACTCAATGATTACAGCCCTATCATTAAAAGTTTTAATTGCTAAATTTTTAATTTGGATCATACAGCGAACTACACCTCTGTCACCCCTGTCACACCCTCCCAAAAAAAATCGGTTCACGAGACTAAATTACAACGTATTATCAGTTTGAGAAGTGTAGTTAATTGCATATTGAAGAGATATACAATTATTCTTGCCTTGACAATCTAAAGGCGAAGGAGGAGAAAGTTTGAAAGAAACCGAGCCGGCTCCGTGCCGGTCCACCCTTCAAATAAATTCGAACGTTTCTTTTGAATCACACGAGGGTAAAAGACCGGTGTTTCTTTGAACAGAAAATCGGTCGCAGAAGAAATGGAGATATGCGTCTCGGCCTTCACCTTCTTTCTCAGCCACGTAAAAGGGAGCTCGAATGGAATAGAGTGTCTGTCAGGTATCCAATCCCCCCATAACCTCACTCCATGAATATTCACGCTTGGGGCCGTTACATCTGTCCACAAAATATATCCGACCAGTTTAACATTCGGTGCTTTTCGTGAATGAAGTCGACTGCATCTCGGGCAACATGGAACGAAGCCGGCGCCTTCTCAGCTTGTTTCCGGACACGATCTCCGTTTGAAATTCTTTTCTCACTGAATTTTAGGCTGTTGGGAAACTCGCTTGTATTAGAAGCGTACACTAATTCTATGCGTTTGATCAAACACGTGCCGCCTCTGTCATACGTACTCGTGGGATTTTAAAGACTCGCTAACTCCTCGACGCGTCCGACCGTCACAAAATCCCGATTACTACTGACTGAACGTCGCACAATTCCCCTTTACTAGCCCTACCCGCCACCGCGTACCCGACCTGCACACAAATGCACCCGTAGTAACGATGCGCCACTATGTGCAACGGTGCATGCGTGCACACAGACACCTCGATTCATGGCACACGCGTTACCGTTACCGCGCGCACGCACTTTTTAAGGGGCGTTTCGATTAGGCGAACTATTTTCTTACTTGCACGACATTTATTTCTGCTACTACAATTGTGCGAATTCAACCACATATTGAAAAATAACTTTTAAACTTCTTTCAGCCAAATTATTTTATCTTCAACATGGAAGTTTATTTTGTTTGAAATTAAATCTTCAAGTGATTTTTTGTTTGATTTAATTAATCCCTCTAAGATAATCCGTTATTTTATTTGATTGTATTTGCTGTTATTTTTGGATATCTGTATTTCTGATCTGATATGACTTTACGTGACGATACGTGATTTGAGCTGATTTAAATCGACGCAATTCAATAGGACGTAATATAGCTGAATAGTTTATCCAATAATATCTTGAACACTAGTTTCAACACGAATTACTTTGACACTAATTGAGCATGAATGAATATCTTTGCTGTTGCTCGTTAAAACACACCTTAACCAAGTGTCGTGTAAAACTTTTTAATCTTCCTTGATGATTGGAAAGTGTTTAAACAATCAGTTTATTATGATTTATGTATATATGTAATTTTATTACTTCTTAATATATATATAGGTTTTATATACATTAATAAAATTGTATAAAATATATGTTTTAATATTATCAAAAGTATACAAATAAGTTTAAATGATTTAAATGTAACATATAATTTACATGAAAGATTGCATAAATTGGATTTGTCTCCAGAAGATGCTTTTAAAACGAAAAAATACGAAACAAGAATTGAAATATCGTTTACACGTTTTAAAAAACATTTCTCGTTTATTGAGCTTCACACAACTTCGTTTAATTTATTCAAATAGAACGCGTGTAATTACATCTGTTATCCTATTAATTTCAAATAATTCGCTATGCTCATTTAATTTAACTAAATTTAATTATTGCTAAAACCGTTGAACACAAGTTCGATCGCTGCCTGAACATCGCCGTTTGTAAAATGCAGCGCTTGAATGTTTATTGTGTCATCTTGTAATCCTAATTCATGCATTTGCGCTAACTGTCGTTGCAAATCTGTGAACTGCGGTAAAACGGCTGGTAGAATTGGTGGTAACGGTGTATCGTTGATTAAACCGGGCGTTGCTGCAGAAGCTTGTTGCATAGCTTGAGTGAACATTTCTGTGGTTATTACTCCAGAATTGGTACTACTAGCCGATGTAGAGGAAGGAGAATTGGAAAGGGGAAAACTCCTGGCTCTTGCTCTAGAAACTGCTGCTGCAAGTTGTGCAACAGTAATCGCAGAATTTGATGGATTATTTGACATATTTGATGGCTGTGTAGAATCTGAAGACTGAGAAGAATCACCAGCCATTTCTTCATCATCACTCAAATTGTCTAAACTACAGAAATTAGCAGTAGGCTGCAACGTAGACAGCGAAGAGTTAGAACCGGCAGTTGTATTGTTATGTACTTCAGCATGAACTGCAGCAGCTATATTTTGTGCTGCCTCCACTAGAACTGGATGTGCCTCTGCAAATCTTTTTGAGATATTAACATATATATTAGTTTTAAATAATTAATGTATTCAAGAGTATATTAACACATACCTTCGAACTGTATCTACATCTGTAAAATATGCCATTAAATCAGGATCTTGCAAGATAGCAATTGCTACAGTATCCTCGTGTAAACCAGGAGAAGATGAAATGATATTGTTTATAACTTCTGGTCTTTCACCTAAATGCTGTGTTGCATATATATTCTTTATTATTTATGATGTATGCCATTATAAATGAATATGATATAATAATTAACATACATTTAAAGCACTTCGTAATTTGGGATTTTCTTTAAATGATTTAAATGTAGATGCAAGTTGCAGAATACTATCTTCTGATATGTACTTTGGTAACGACATCATTTCTTGCTCCCTTTTCCTTAAGACATGTACCATTGCACCACTTTTTAAACCATAAAATTCTAAGGTCATGTCATCTTCCAGGACACTGCCGCAATAAATCAATTCTACATAAAAAGATATCAAAACGTTTATACACGTATAAAGATTAAATATATTTATATATTTTTATTGAAATTATATAGAATATTTCACGTGAAAAGAACTATGTTATCATTAGTGTATATTAGGAAAATCAAAAAATTAATTCAAGAATTTTAGACAAAGAACAAAAGTTCGAAAACAAAGTCATCTTACCAAAGGATTCTTTTGATAGGTTAACTCTCTTAGCTGTCTCATATTTAAGTTCTCCAACCTTTGTTTTAAAATTAATATCGTTTAGTTTAATTGTAGTTAATGTTTGAGGATCTAAACGTACACCTAAAACTAATTCTGAAGTCATTATTGTCACTAGAAAATACTATCCGAAACCAGATCGCACTTTTGATTCGAGATACACTTCGATTTTACGAAATCATCAACAAAACATGATGCGTTCACAGCTTTTCTCTTATTCCATGTTCTTTCTATTTCCGTTCTGTTTGTTTGTTTATTTTGTAAAGTATATAAAATTTATTAAAACTCTAACTAATTTTGTTATATTGTTTTTGAAATTAAATATATTAAATAAATTTTGAACACATATTGTCAATATATGTATTTTGTCAATATAAATTGTTATGAATTAAATAAAATTACTAGTATTTATAACGTTGTTATTTTATTGAATTTATACATATACAACATATTGAAAAACTTTAAAATTGTACAAATTGTAACTATTTAAATTACATTGTAGACAAGAAAATAATATTTTGAAAACGTATCAGATCGATACACAGTTTCGATGATTCGATATTAGTTGTATTCGACACATCGATGCCTTGCGATGCTTAAAACTGCATCAGTAATATGAACAAGTTCAGTGATATGTTTGCGATAATATTTAGTAGCTGACATTAACATAATTAATTTAAAATGTTGTGCAATATAGAATTTTGATATGAAATAAGAATAAGCAGAAATGCAAGACCTTTGCGAAAATATTCGTACAGCTATTGAACATGGACGAACCGATATAATTAGATCTCTTTTAGATGCGTGTATGTGTCACAAACTTTATATTAAAATTATGCATAATTTTTAATTTATCACATAATATTATATTAAAAATATTTTTATTTGAAATAAGATAAAAAAATGAATAAAAATATGTTACATGAAACAGTATAAAATAATATTTTCAATATTAAAAGGATTGATGTAAAATTTGTTTTCTGTTTCTTTTTTGCAATAGGTGAAAATGGTAATTCAGCCGAAGGTATAACTAAAGAAAAGATTCTTAATCAACCGCTTTTAGAAGAAGGTACTTTCCTTTCATATGCGTCAAAGGTAATAATATAGATGTAGAAATGCTGTAAGAATAGTGCTATAGAATATACTGTCAAAATGTCAGTATCAAAACCTGAAATACTCTGTATATTATAACATATTTAAATATACATAACAAATCATGTTTTATTTGTTACACAAAAATATAGGCAAATCAGCCAGATATTGTAAGGACATTGTTAAGCTGTGGTGCTAATCCAGCTATTCAAAACAGTAATGGATGTAATGCTGTAGATGTTGCGTCAAGTGATGTAATACGCCGTACTTACATTGAAGAATTATTAAGAGCAACTGCTGCATCCGAGTATGTAATATGCGTGTATATACAATATCAATATTCAATATATTTACTTGCTTCAATAATAATATGTAATTATTTAAAGGACAGACAGGGTGATACAACTATTAGATGCAGGATTAAATGTAAATTCATGGGATTCCCATGGGAGTAAAAATACACCTTTACATTGGGCAGCCTGTTATGGGAACAAAGATATTGTCACCTGTTTAATCGGTAAAATTTTAAAAGTGATATATAAATAAACAACATACAAACGTGTATAACTGTTATTTAGATAGAGGTGCAGATGTAAATGCTGTAAATGGATGTGGTGCTACACCATTACATGATGCAGTAGATCGTGGTGATGTTGCTGTTTGTCAAGAATTGCTACAAGCAGGTGCAAATCCTCTTGTACGAGCAACTAAAGGGTATTTAAATAATACAGTATTATAAATATGGGTACAGATTTTATCATATTTTAAGAAAATTTATTGCAGAACTTTTGCTGGGAAAACTCCATATGATCTTTCACGAGGAAAACAATCTTTGCACTGTTTTCTTCAAAGATTTTTATCAAACTTTGTATCGAATGAAACTGAAACAGTACATAATCCAACTACATTTACAGAAGGCAATTTTTGCCAGAAAAGTATTTCAAGTAATATGAGTCAGCTTTCTATTGAATCTGGTAAATCATTAGATCCAGTATATGAGGTACCTCTACGTGAATCAGGCAAAGATAGTCCAACTAAAAATACAGAGAAAGATGGAATTTATAGTTTACTTTGGCCGCAGCCGAAAACCGTTGTTGAATTAAAAAATGTTTCTGCACCCTTTATTGCTGGAAAGGAATTATTTATATCTATAATACAGGTATGTTTCTCAATAATAATTACAGAAAACGTTTATCATATTATTTACATGTATATGGTTGTATAGGGTAGTGAATCCATACATAAAATGCTAGATGTTTGGGAAATTAGCAGAACTCATTTATTAGAGTTGGGTTATGATGTAAAAATTGGTGAAGTGCATCCTAGTTCCGGGAAATTATTTAGTGAAAACAGAATTGAATGCATAGTAAATGAAAAATTATTCAACATACCTGAGGGATATCAGTTACATATTTCACAAAACACTATTAAAGTTGGTGCTGGAAGTTTAGCTGGACTACATTATGCAGTTTGTACTTTTGTACAAATTTTGCGATTAAGTAAAATTCATAATCGATCCGAGGCATGTGAAATTGAACCTGTTTTTATAAAAGACGAACCTCGGTTCACTCATCGCGGTATATTGTTAGACATTTCACCTAGAGGACGTATCCCTACTTTAGAATATTTGCTACACATGATTGATTTATGGTCATCTTTTAAAATATCATATCTACATTTGTATTCAAGACTTAGTCCAAACTGCGATTGGCAACTTTGCTATTCAAAGTCAGAGATGGTTACACTCGACCGTTATTGCAGGTTTGTATATTGTTATATAGATAATATTATTATTGCATATTGATAAGAATGTATAATATATTATTCTGTATTTTAGAGATCGACATTTGGATTTAGTTCCGACTCTAGATGTTGATTCAAATGTGGGACAACATCACTTATCACAAATGTGGCCTATATTTCAAGAGTTATTAGCAGTATTTCCAAGTTTAAGTTATGTTCATGTCGGACCGAGATTAGCCAATTTGCTTGTTCAGGCAGATAATTTTGATCTCAATTTGTCCGTAAATGAAACTATAGAAACAGATATGTCAGAAGTGTTTAAATCGTACTCTTGTCTTCAAGAGTTATGGCATATTTTAAATTTATGCCCAAGTACAACTTTATTGTTATGTTCAAATGGTTTACATTCCAAAGTAGAATTTCATAATATACCTAATAACATTATTCTTGTTGAATATGGATTCCAGGTTAATTAAATTATAAAATACGTACTAGTCATTTTGCTGAAGTAGCTATAGCTAATTCAAGATTATATTGCAGGCGGACTATGATTTTTCTGAGTGGACAGAAGCGTTTAGAATAGCAGGTGGTAATGTTTTACCAAGTTCTGGAACAGCAAGTTATAACAGTTTAGCGGGATGTCCACCATCAACTTATGCAAATACGAAAAATGCAATAAAAACCTCCCTTGAACAGGATTCAATTGGTTTAGTCGTAGCACACTGGTCTGGAAGTCATCATCTTACTCCCCATCCTTTTGCTTGGATTGGATATTTAATAGCAGCGGGACTAGCATGGAATCCAGTCAGTGAAATAGATATGGGAGTTGACGATAATTACGATATGCCTGAAGCTTTTGCATCAAGGTACTCAATTTTGAAATTGCATATAAGATTGATACGAGAAAAAAATGTTTGACCAAAAATATTTTGTAGGCAAAAATGTATCACAAAACTGCTTGATATTCATGTTTTTCAAGATTCAGAATATAAAATCGGTAACGCAATATTAGAGTTGGGTCGTTTAGATACTTTAGTACTTACTTTGAGTAAGAATCAAACAGCAAAAGATTTACAACAAATTCCTGATAATCGAGGATCCACATTGTATAGATTACTGACAGATCCGGATAATGTTAATTTGGAATATCTTTCAGCAGATTTGTTTGCAGTAAGTATAATTGATCATTGCAAATTTAGAACGAGTGAGAGTGAAAAATAATGTTTCTGATCTTGTTTAACAGAAAGTGACGAAACAAGTTAAACGTATTTCGCATTCGTTGTACGAAGCTAATTTATCATCGAAATTTGGATCGATGGAAATACAAGAACTTCAGTTGACTGCTGACATAATGTTAACAGCTTGTAAAATCGGCAGAACATTAATTGGCGTTGGTGTTAATCCTAATAGCAACATGGGTCTTGCAGTAATCAACTTGGGAATATGTAATCTACCACCTACATTTAGAACTGATGTAGCAAATAAGATGTTAGCTCATATAGAGCAGTATAAAGGTTCGTGGTTACAAAGGCATTTACCTCAGGGCCTTCAAAGCTCTTTACTAGTCCTCACTAGTGCATTACATAGGTTTGTGCCAGAAACATAATTCTTTGAAGTTTGAAAACACAAAAGATTTTCATATAAATGTACAATATAATATCAGTTTCTGCTATATGAGAGTGCAGGTATATATTGTGCTGAAAGCAATTACACAAAGAGCTTACTAATGTTCCTTTGAAACAACATTTACTGGCACAGAATAATATATTGTACCATTATCTCATTTAGTTTATGTACGGTTTCAATGATCTTCCTAATTCAATATTTTATATTACAGTAATTTTTAACACTTGTATGAATGTGATTAATTCTCAAGGTCTAAAGAAACAAACTTAATAAGAAATTGTTTATGATAATATACAATATGAAGAATAATAATTACAATCAAAAAGTTCATTTTTATAATACAACTGTATTTAGAAATTAGTTACATGTTTTTAAGTCATTATAATATGTATATTAATTATACAAGATTTTTATGTCACAATTTATGTATAAAAATATTTTAATATTAAGTGTCTTGATAACAAAACAATTTTGTATATTGTACATTCTCTATATAAATAACGATTTACAGTAATGTTTAGCTCATGTTCAACTACTACTATTTACAGTACTGTTAACTTTTTCACAAAAATAGCATTTTTATACTTGCATGTTTATTTATATTACTGATTTGCATTAATCAAGTATCATACACTTATTATTTTATGCGTGACATTTAAATAAATGAAAATGATTTTTGAAGTATTAAATATTTCAGTATTGATAATACTGTTTATTAATAAAATATTAATTTAGTGAATAAATATTGCAAAATACAATAATCAGTATTTTATTATATATTATTACTATTAATAAGATTATTTTGGTTCTGAGGATTCCATCCTCCCATTTCTAAATCCTGTTTATGTTTCTTTTCATTTTCAAGAGCCTGAAGTCTATAAAATTCATTAATTTCAAATTCATATTTTGGGGATGTGATGCCAAAAAAATCTGCCAACCATTCACCAACATAATCACAACCATTCAATATTTTGTTACCAACCCATGTTGTTTGATACCAAGTCCACGGTAACCAAGTAAGGGTTTTCTAAAAATAAAAATTAATTTTTATTATCATTTGACTAATTTAAAAGTGTAACAATGTACTAATTTAATGAACACTTAACTGGGTCTATATGTTCTACTTTATTTACTTCTGTGGTATCCACTTCATCTTCAGAATATTCCAGATCGCCATCCGAAAAATGTAGTACACGTACTGGTTGTTTTAACGATTTTTTATCCTACAATTATTTTGAGTCACAATAAAAGTACAATCACACACGTCTAAAATTACATACGTGCTCATCTGTGTTGATATTTTCGTTTAAAACAACATCTGACAAATCACAGACTTCACCCTTCTCCAAACTCATAATAAATAATTTTATTCTCAGCAAAATAAATAACAATTATAAAATATTATTTACAAAACTGTTTCATTGGCAGTATAAGTGTACACAAACTGTCACTATACAGGACAACACCCAGCAGTGAACTGACTCATTAAGTATATAAAACATGAGAAAGCAACGAACAATGATAACTTTTATAAAATTAATGTAAAACTAAAATTATAGAGTAAACATTTTATGTAAACTACAGTAAGCGAAGGAATTTACATTCCTTTAGACTTTTTGACTCTAGTACAAATCTGGATTCCCTAGAAAAAATGGGAAACAAAAAAGAAGTCAGCTGATAGCTCCAGAACCACAGAGTGTACCTACTCTTTACATCTACTTAGAGTTATATCTACTCTTTGCTCTTAGGCTAACCAGAGTTATCCTAAGAGTGGTTAAAAATTGATAATAGCTTAGTAAAGTTATAAAAATTCGAAGTTAATTATTTCGATATAATTCGATTCATCTTATAATTAATTATACTAATAAAATCAACTATATTAATCCATAAAATCAATATTAATTGAATTTTCATGGAAACGGACAACTGGCGGCATCTCTCAGACAAGTAGGGTGAACTACACACTTTTGAAACTATATTTTAGTTTTCTTCACGCGCGTTTAATGCATGATTCCAGCAAACTTGCATGGTACATTTAGCACGCGCATATGTCTTCGTTCCAATAATACGACATTTGACTGCTAGATGGCAACAGCGGCACTGTTTCCAGCTCGTGCGCGCTAATATATAAATTTCAAAATGCATGTAGCAATGAAACTCTTAAAATGCTTACAACTTTTGAAATTAATCACTCCACCATTTACTGTTGCTCATTGCTCATTACAAAAACCAGTGTGCTTTTAAAAGCATTTATTTGCGGAAAAGTTATCATTGATATTTTCCTGCCAATTGATACAATATGTGATGGAGATCCTTTCTTTTGACCACCACTTTTCTTTAAATAAGACAAATTTGCAATTGATGTATAAGTTACATTGGGAAAGACATATGGAGATTTACGCGTTGCCATAATATTAATAATAAAATTTCTACATAGATGTTTTCAAATTGTACTTGTAATTTCTAGAATAATTTACTGTTATATAATCAACGGACCGTAAATATGTAAGTACCGTTAGCTCCGCCCAGTACATATGTACGTACATATGTACTATTCCTTTAGACTTTTTGACTCTAGTACAAATCTGGATTCCCTAGAAAAAATGGGAAACAAAAAAGAAGTCAGCTGATAGCTCCAGAACCACAGAGTGTACCTACTCTTTACATCTACTTAGAGTTATATCTACTCTTTGCTCTTAGGCTAACCAGAGTTATCCTAAGAGTGGTTAAAAATTGATAATAGCTTAGTAAAGTTATAAAAATTCGAAGTTAATTATTTCGATATAATTCGATTCATCTTATAATTAATTATACTAATAAAATCAACTATATTAATCCATAAAATCAATATTAATTGAATTTTCATGGAAACGGACAACTGGCGGCATCTCTCAGACAAGTAGGGTGAACTACACACTTTTGAAACTATATTTTAGTTTTCTTCACGCGCGTTTAATGCATGATTCCAGCAAACTTGCATGGTACATTTAGCACGCGCATATGTCTTCGTTCCAATAATACGACATTTGACTGCTAGATGGCAACAGCGGCACTGTTTCCAGCTCGTGCGCGCTAATATATAAATTTCAAAATGCATGTAGCAATGAAACTCTTAAAATGCTTACAACTTTTGAAATTAATCACTCCACCATTTACTGTTGCTCATTGCTCATTACAAAAACCAGTGTGCTTTTAAAAGCATTTATTTGCGGAAAAGTTATCATTGATATTTTCCTGCCAATTGATACAATATGTGATGGAGATCCTTTCTTTTGACCACCACTTTTCTTTAAATAAGACAAATTTGCAATTGATGTATAAGTTACATTGGGAAAGACATATGGAGATTTACGCGTTGCCATAATATTAATAATAAAATTTCTACATAGATGTTTTCAAATTGTACTTGTAATTTCTAGAATAATTTACTGTTATATAATCAACGGACCGTAAATATGTAAGTACCGTTAGCTCCGCCCAGTACATATGTACGTACATATGTACTCGCACATGATTGGCCGAGTCACTCGACCGGAACGGTCACCGAACCGTAACGGGGGATATATAAACCCCGAATTTTTCAGAGAGCAGTCATTCAGGCACTTCTGCTAATACAAGCAACATGGAGTTCTTCAGATCCTTCCTTCGCGTCATTGGACTGCTACAACCTGCCAAGGTGGATTTCATTTCTGAACTTCCACCCGAGGTATCGCAGCTAATTTTACGCAAGTTGGATCCTGAGTCCTTGTTGAATGTAGCACAAGTATCACAAAAATGGCTTGGAGTTTGCAGAGCTGACAAGAAGCTGAGGCAAACTGCGAGGCGTCACCTGCGCCACGAAGAGCGGCAAAGGAGAATCGAGTTTTTGGGAGAGGAGGCTCTTGAAAATCCTAGGATTCGAGTTCCAAGGACTCGGGTTCCAAAGGAACCGTCCTCGAGGTACAAGAGAATTCCTTTTGCTAGGTACGAGGCTGCTGTTGTGATGGGGAGGGTGGATCCTCGTCCACTTTCCTCAAAACAAGGTAAGGGGAGAGCAGCACCGGTAGAGTTAAGGTCATCTAGATGTATTAGATTATAGTTTTAATAAAGTCCCTTATTCCATTTAGCTTAGTTTAGTAATAACTTATATTCAGTTTAAATTATATCTCATGACACCCTTGGCGCCAAGGAAATATATTTTAACTTATATTCTGTATCTTAAGAATAAATTTAATAATTTAAATTTCATTCATTTTATTTTTAACATTTGTAATGCTTTATTTTAAAGTGGATATATTATTTTTAAAAATTTAAATCATTAGTTTTATTAATAATAATAATAATAATAAATTAGTATTAGTGTATTAATAATAAAAGTAACACCTTTCTAATAAAAATATAAATCATTTTTAATGTCGGTTATTAGTTACAATAGATGACTGCAATAAAGATTTAAATAAAAGAAAATTATTTTACGTTGTTTTTTAGTTTTCTATGCAAACTGTTTTTCCAAAACAATAGAACGCATAAACCCTTTTTAGATTTTTTAAGTGCATTTGTATATGGCAGTAAAAGCTACGATGAAATTACTTGTCCGGTAATGAATTTAGGAATAAATGAATCCATTAATTTTATAACCTTATTACTTTAACGATAAATCAAATTTTATAGATGTAATATATATTGTACACCATCAATACCGGGCAATCACGAAAATAATTAATCTTGCACTTTGATGTAGTTTTATGAAATATTATAGTCAATTAAAATTGATATTAGTCTGCGGCTATATGCCGGCGGTATGTACCATAAGCGCTAGGGTTTCTTTAATGTGCTGTACCTTTGCGAAAATAGTTGTCTTCCTATATTTTAGTAATCAATAAATTAACTAGGTCTGTTTGATTAGGCGCTCCGCGCCTATCCTAACAATGTTGAGCGAGCGAGTAAATTTCAGGCTAAAGCAGAAATAGTCAACCGTGTCATCCGGTTGAATTGGTTGAGTGGTGCAAGAGAAAAGCGTGAACAAAAAAGTTGAAAAGTCAAGTACATAAGCGCGAGCAAATTCAATTTTACATTAAAGTCTATGAGGATATGGTTTTTTGGTAATTATTCTTCTGTGACATGCACGGGCGGCGCGTAGAAGGAATATACACGACAATGAGTATGCAAAATCGTTAATTACTCACTTTCTGAGCACAATTTATGAACTTTTATGATTAAAGAATGGTCAGCAATGCATTATTTACATGGTTCGATCATAAAATTTCATAAATAATGTTCGGGTAATGAGTAATTAATTATTTTGTGCCAGCATTGCGGTACGTACATGAGCCGCCTATATCAATTCTACTGCACATGCAAAGTGCAATATTTCGGCACTTTGACGACGTAGCATGGTTCCGGAGGCATTTAGAAACAAATTTCTATTAGGGTTTGATGCGTTGTAATGCTTAATAAAGCCAGGAAATCAATTTTTGTCGAATTCGGTCCAAAACGGTACAAGTGGCGCCATGTAGCGGCGAGCGGCGGAACTACGAAAAACTAAAATTTCGATTTTCTCGGAAATTAGCCAATTTTACTTATTTCTGAGGGTCAGAAACTGTTCTGTGACCTCTTTAGAACCTATATAATGCCACAAGAACCTCCTCAGAGCGCTAGAAAGGAAAATAAAAAAATAGGTCAAAACATGGACTAAAAAATTGGCGTCCATCTAGCGGTGGAAGTTGGAACTACTAAAATATAAAAATGCGATTTTCTCGAAAATTAGTGAACTTTGAGTACTTCTGAGGCTCAGAAAGTGTTATGTGATCACACTAGAAGCAAAATAATGCAATAAAAATTTCCTGAAAGCTTTAATAAAGAAAATAAAAAATATGCCATTTTATGGAGAAAATTTGTGGCGCCATCTAGCGGCGAAACTGCGAACTAAACTGAAAAACCGTATGTCCGTACACGTTTTAAGGAAAAATATAAAAAGGAATATTTTGCAACTTTGAGGGCATCGTATGCTTCTTTAGACATTTTAAAGCAATTTTTGTTAAATAAGTTATTCTTTTTTTTACCTATTAAGCCCAAAAAATCAATTTTTTTTTACCCCTTTACTGCGTGTTCGGACATACGGTTTTTCAGATTAGTTCGCAGTTTCGCCGCTAGATGGCGCCACAAATTTTCTCCATAAAATGACATTTTTTT